CCTCTGAAATAACGTGCCCAAAAAATTCTAACCTATCCTGGAAAAACTCGCACTTTGAACCCTTGGTCAGTAGTCTATGCTTGTCTAAAACCGTAAATACTGCTTCTAAGTCGGCTAAGTGCTGCTGCTTATCACGACTGTAGACGAGAACGTCGTCGAGTATCACGCATTTATCTAAGAGTGGCCTAAACTCCTCGTTCATGGTCATCTGAAATGTCGCCGGTGCGTTGGTCAGCCCGAAAGGCATCACTAGGTACTCGAATGACCTGTACCTAGTCCTAAATGCTGTCTTGGCACAGTCTGATGGTTCGACCCGAATCTTATGGTAACCTCCTCGTAAATCGATTTTCAAAAAGAACCGTGCTATTTGCAGTTGATCTATCAGTTCGTCGGCGCGGGGGATGGGGTATCGCGGTTTGACTGTAACCCTGTTCAGTGCTCTGTTGTCGATGCACATGCGAAAACCTTCGTCCTTTTTCGGTGTGAACAGGATTGGTGCGGCGAACAGCGACGAGCTTGGTCGGATGATTTTTTTTCTTTAACTGGTAATCTAACTACTTCCTCAGTTCGTCGAGCTCGGGATGTGTCAGTCTGAACTGTCGCTGTACAGTTGGCTGTGCACCGGGTTCTAATTCTATTCGGTGATCGTGTGCCCGCTGAGGTGGCAGTCCTTCCGGTAGGTCGTCGGGAAAAATCCTCGGGTACCGTTTCAACAGTTCCTATAGTTCGGGTGGTACTGCCACCAATAGTTTCTGAAAATCGCTCGGTTGCTCTGCTTCTTCCACCACTGCGATATCCACCGCGTACACGCCATCTCCAGTGGCGACAGCCCGTTTCATTGTGATGGCGTTGACATGGACCGTTGAAGACTCAGGCGACTGCCAGCGAGGTAGCTCAACCCAGTTACCACTACTTCGCACAGTGCAACTACCCGTCGTCAAGTCGATTCGCGGGTTGTATCGTCGCAGCCAATCACGTCCTAGTAAAATGTCCTGCCCATCCAATGTCGTCGCGAGCATTTCCCGTGTAAACTCGAAGTTCCCCCCATAGCGGATTTTTACTCTCTCCACCTTTTCCTGTATGGCCAGCGGCGTTCTGTCGACTAAGCGTGCATCTATCTCCGGTAAACACCGGCTGAGTGCCAGTTGCTGTTTTCTTGCTGTCGCGGTATTAACTAAGCTGTGACTTGCGCCTCCGTCTATCAAAATATTCACTGCTGCTCCCTGTATTTTTCCGTGGATCAGTACTGGGCAATCCGTCGTTGTACCATCCTTATTCATCTGAGCCCGATCGATAGCGTGAATCGGTACTGTGACTCGGTGAGGGTCGGTGAGGTTGGGCGAGCAGGCAGTCTCGTCAGTAGTGGGCCTAACTTCTACTAACTGCTGGCGTTTCCCGGCCTCTGAGACTCTCGCCCCTGCTCTGTTCCGTGGCGCGTCAGCTCTTCTGGGCATTCACTCTTGTGATGGCCCGGCCTATTGGAAGCAAAACAGCGCCCCTTAAACGGTGCGGCAGCTGCATTCGTTGCAACGGCGTGTACGGTGGCGTGCTCGATTGGTCCCCGAGGACGTTGTCCATAGTAGGACCCCGGTCTCGGCCGTCGCAGAATGTCGATTTTCTCGGCGAGCGCGAGGATCTCGTTAGAATTCGAGAGCCCACGTAGCATAATTTCGTGCGAGATGTCCGGCTTCAGCCCTCCGACGTAACGGTCCACCCGCTCCGCTTCGTGCATGTAGCCGACTTGCTCGCATAATGCGAGAAAACCACTCGTGTAGTCTTGAACCGATACGAGCTGCCGCCAAGTACGCAGTTTCTGATGCGCCGAAATCGAAGCCGCAATCGGCTCGAAACGTGTCCGAAGTCCTGCGCACCACGCATCCCACGTGCTGTACTGGGCTGTCTCGCAGAATGAACTGCAGGTGACGGCTGGGCCTGTGGGCCTGTCCTCTTGCGACGGTGGCTTGTAGGCGCGTGGCGACGTCACGATGACTCGCCACCAGCCCATGGCTGGGCCCCTCAGCAGTGAAACAGCGTAGCGAATCTTCGTTGCATCCGACTCGACGTAATTCGCGTCGAAAAAGACGTTAATCGTGAAGACCCACGATTGAACCGTCGGACCTCCACGTTGGCTCGGGTCGAAACAGGGCGGACGCTGCGGCTTGAGTGGCATTGGTGCCATGACGGCATGCTCGCCACTTGTCGCTGCAAATTCCACGTGCCGATGGGCTTCGCGGGGCTCCCGCGGGCTTGGTGCGGCCCTGTTTCTCTCCATGCCAGGCATTGAGTGAGCAGCACCTTCACTGGCTACGCCTAAGCGTTGTCCCACGCTGTCGTTCTGTTTTGGTGTGCCTGACGAGATGACGATCGGCTCCTCTGATTGTGCAGGTGCATTTGTTGGTGCTGGTGCATTCACTGTCGATTGCTGGCGAGCGGAGTCGCGTTCCGCCGTGAGTGTGGCGATTTCGAGGGCCGAAACTTCGAGTTGGCGTACGAGACGGTCGAGCTGTGCTTGCGTTAGTGTCGCGAGTGTGATTTCAGCCATGGCGGGGGTGTCGGGCAAGCTCAGCGAGAGCCTCTGTCGTGGTCGTGCGTGCTTACGAGAGAGCACTACGAGCGGCGGTGCTTGGTCGCTGAGAGACGTCTACCCCCCCCCAAAAAAAAATTAGTGGGGAAGCGAAGGTGTGGGTGCGATCCGAGAGAAGATCGTAGGCTCTGATAACCAAGTGTTACGAGTGCAATTGAGTGAGCGAGCGAGGATTGCACTATCGAGACAAGAATACAATGAGCGAAGGATTGAGCGAAGGATATATAGCGAAGCTACAGTGGTAACGGTAACGCGTGGAAATTGAGGTGCGCGATGGGCCTGGCGCCGAGGTTGGGAACAGTGGCGTACGCGCTGAGTAGGGACGCGAAGTAAGGAAAAGGAATTTTCCTTACATAGGGTAGTAGTCTTAGAAATGAACCCAACTTTTGCTCAAACCAAAACCAGATCAAAATGGTGGGTAGCTTGGGTGGGGTGGGGGAGGTGGGAGTTGTGCGGGGTGTGCACTCACGGCTCTCGGCCTGTAACCTGTGTGCCAACTGAAGTTTAACCTTGATGCCAATCGAAGCCGGTTTCAGCGGAGATACGAACAGAGAGTGCCCCCCCAAGCCCTGGAGGGTACAGGTAAGTACAGACCAAGGGCACCCTACCCTACTCCGTACCCTAGGGTAGGGGCCAAACAAACACCGCCCCAGTGCTGATTGGATTGGAGGAATCGGCGAGATCATGCCAACACGTGACATCGTCGTCCCATTCATATTCCGAGTTCTGATCGCCTTTCGGCCATCCCAACAAAAGAAAGGGAGCCTGAAAATGAAAACCATTCGTCGATGTGCTTGAGAAATCCGACGGTTGTCATTTCTCGACATCCTCTCTCAGCTGTTGCGCGAGGACGTCGAAGAACGTTTCGGGCACTGTCTTGGCATCTTGGCTTTTTTCTCTGCCCCCTGTGTCACTGGTAAAGCACTAGACCCAGCCTTACCCAACCAGGTTTCGTGTCAAGAGGGACGGTTTAGCTTTTGCACACCCATGTGCGCTAGACTAAGGGCGTGTCTGAAGTGAATTTCGACGTTTGCCGACGAAACTTTCGTCGACGTTCCTTGACGAAACTCGACATCCGTTTTCAGCTGTGTTCACTTCAGACACCCACACGACAAAATAACCCACACGTGCCATAGGAACACTGTTATAAGTTGCCCATGAAAATTCGACGTGGAATTAACAGAATCATTCATGTAACTCAATTGTTTGCAATCTCGCGAATTTCGCTTAGCATAGATTGTTGCTGGTAACACCGGATATTCTACTGTCACATTGCCAGCGAAATTTCTCTAGCACGTGTCGCTCTCGTCTTAGTTCTTATTCACGTGTGTTTTGCCACAGCTATGCAGACATGGCGTGTCGAAGAATTGTTTTTGAAACACTCACTGACTACAGTGACTCAAACAGCTGCCCGGTATCACTGTTCGACATCCCTCGACATGTGCACGAACGTCGAGTTTCGTCGAGGGATGTCAGGCTGCACTTCAGACACCAACACGCGTGGGTCCCACGGATGAGTTTCGTCGACGAAATTTGACGAAACTCGACGTTTGCACTTCAGACACGCCCTAAGTTGGCACTTATTTTATACGCAAACTGCGTCGCCTCCAAACTTCACCGCCGCAGCATCATTTCAAGCCATGGCCCGAAATCAGCTATTGGTCCGTCCAATGACAGCATTTAGGCACCACACGATGCGTGAATCATTACCTTTAGTTCCTAGGCTGAATCGGTGGATCTTGCTTCAGTTGAACCGCGATCGGCTGCGCATTTCCGCCCCGGAGCCTAAAACGTGTGTTCAAGCGGGTTCAATTAGTGCCATAGGGTTTGTTGCGTGGAAAAAACGTGTGATTATCTCTAGTATGAATCCGAGAGTATTGGGGGTGCAGAAGGAGAAACGTGTGGAAGATGGTAGCGAGAGCATCTCTGTTACACTATGCGCGGCACTTAAGCTATTTTTGTGAGCACTTACTGCTGCCCAAATGGTCCTCGGGCTGAAAACCCTCCACCGCCAAATCAGGAAACCTAAACTCCTGTCACCCTCACTCCTGTCACTCCTCATCAACCCTCATCACCCATTCGCTTACTGTCGCACGGCCTCTCGCTCCCACGATAATAGGACTTATTCACCCACACCAAAGCTCCCCCTCACTTCTGCATCGGTAGTTCCTCCTCACAGTACGTAGACTAACCCTTTCTCGCGATCGCACATCCCTCGAGCGTCGTACTACTGAACCACGACTGCCATACTATTCCATTCCCTCATGTAGTACAAACGCCGATTTCTGCCTCCTCGGATCGCGCTGATCGTGGAGCCTCAAGCTTCCAGGAACGTCTTGGCCAGTCGACGGCTGCTGCCGTGCGATTGACGCGCCACTGGTTTTCGGGGAATCGTTACTACTACTGGTTCGCATCCATGGCGACCCTGGCCCGGGGTCGGAAAGCGGAGTTGCAAGATGGAAGCGCGCCGCTTTCCCCAGTTTCAGATTCGCCGCCTATCATCCTGCGGCTCGCACCCTCCTCGCAACCATGGACAGCGGAGGTACGGACATAGCACTTCGAATCCTCGTGCTATGACGTGCGGTCCCTCACCATAAATCGACGTGCGTGCCTACGTGCATACCTACGTGAATGACCTAGTATTGCTGGGTCAAAGTGCATCGCCGCCGTCCTTTTGAAGAAGGTGATTCCAAACTGTTCCGCGAATGCCGCAGCCCACGGCATTTCCGAAATGTTGGCACAATGCAATGCAGCCTGTTGACTGCCGTTTCATCTGCCACTGTTGCTATGCTCTGTCTCTTACTTTCTGTCGATTCCCTCGGCATTTACCCTTTTGACTCATCATCTGTTACTCTCCATCTGTCGTTCACCCTCTGTCGGTCACCTTCTGTCTTTCACCCTCTGTTGCTAGCTCGAGATCGCTTACCCACCGTCACATATCCTATTTTCCTTACCCCTACCACTTAACCTCCATCCCTTACCCCTATCGCTTGTCCTCCATCCTTTACCCTTTATCGCTTACCCCCATTGACCCCTGCCGAAAGGAGGACGCGGTGCTGCTGCGGCACGCGGTGCCCTTTCCCAGTCGCTTACATTCTATCGCTTACCCTCTATCTCTTTTCCCCATTGCCCCCTTCCGGCCCGGCAGGAGGACGCGGTGCTGCTGCGGCACGCGCTGAGGCACGGCACGCGGCAGTGGGGGCGGCTGGTGCGAGGCAAGCAGCTCGCGCGCGGCAACAAGGCGTGCTGCAACCGCTTCCTCTTCCTAAAGAAGTGAGCCCCATGCTGACCGCTTCCTCTTCCTAAAGAAGTGAGCCCCATGCTGACCGCTTCCTCTTCCTAAAGAAGTGAGCCCCATGCTGACCGCTTCCTCTTCCTAAAGAAGTGAGCCCCATGCTGACCGCTTCCTCTTCCTAAAGAAGTGAGCCCCATGCTGACCGCTTCCTCTTCCTAAAGAAGTGAGCAAGCAGGAGGTGCAAAGTCTTGTTATCATGTGCTGCAACCGCTTCTTTCTTAAGAAGTGGGCTCCTTTTCCTGGTAGGACACGCCAGGCCGAGGCTGTCATGTTGTGTCACACCATGTCACACCATGTGCATCCTTTGAACTTCCTGCTTGAGTTGTGCACACCTTCTGACCTGGTATTCTCCGGAATCTGAGTACACTCTTTCTGCCTTGAGACTACTAGATACGCACTACGTGACGCACCTTTGCAAGCTTTGCTTTTCTATCCTATATTCTCAAAGTTTCCCCTCGCGGCTCACACGCATTTCTTAATCTGACGCATGGCACTCCCTCACAAACACTCTCTGTCTCTTCAGGAAGTTCATCCAGAAGCATGATGACGGCACTCTGCCAGCTCACCGACAGCTGGCTGCTTCCCCGTCCGCCGACCAATCACAGCGGCACATGTGGAACCGTCCTGACGTGGCGAAGCAATATGGCGGGCTGTCATTGGTCGAGTGCATGCAGCTGTTCCTCCCACCTGGTCTCCGAGACACCTTGGTCCCATCTGATTTATCACCTGAACATGCACCTGAGTTCAATCCAGCACCTGCTGCTCCTCCTGAGGGTGACCTCATGGAACCAACGGGGAGACGCTTGGGCAGGGAGCATGCAGGAGCAGCAGCAGGAGGAGGAGGAGGAGGAGCAGGAGCACAGCAGAGCACAGCAGCAGTTTCATCTCACCAGCTGGCTCACATTCTCTTTCCTGAATTACATGCCACGGATGTGCGCACCATGCATCCACACCCCGTGCATGGGGGAATGAAGAGGCCTCGCAATGACGACGACACAGGATTCAGCACCGGCGCCGGCGCCGCTCACACCAGCACTTGTGAAGGCCTGTCAGCAAGCCAGATTCAAGGCACTGGAGCTATTGATGCCTCGGTTGTGCGCTCGCTGCTTCTGCGCGCCGCTGACAGCCAGAGTTGCCAGCAACAGTGCGAAAGCAGGTGAGGCAACGAGTCTCGTTGTCGAAGGTTCTGTGCTTCGCTTGTGCGTACACATTGTGAGTGGATTTCTGGTGGTTACTCTGTTGTTGCGATGTTTTGAGATTAGACGACTCTCCGTCTGCATACAAACTTCCGACGTGGATTTCTGGCGAGTACGCTGGTTCAGTTCTCTTGCCCCCAACAACAGTACGCTGGTCCCCCTTTGCTCTCTTGTGGTCTTCTTTGCTCTATTCAGGCCAACAATCCCAACATCTTGGCTCCTGGCGCTTCTGCAGCAAAAACAGCAGCAACAGCTGCAGCAGTATGAAGATCAAGATCAGCAGGAGCAGCTGCCATCACTGTTCACACAGGATCCAACCGATTCCAAAGCAACCCAATCTTTCCAGTCCCTTCAGAGTTCGTCACTCGCACCTGCCGCCCACTGCAGCAGCATCAACACGCCCACATTAGGCTCTCTTCCTACCCTCGACTGGCCACTCTCCTTCACTCCCTCCCTCCCATCCTCCTTCACTCCCTCCTTTTCACCCTCCGTTTCACACTCCCTCGCACCCTCCCTTTCACCCAACTACGTATCCCCCTTTTGGCCCCGCCCAGTCCACCCAGCACGCCCTCTTTCATCCGCATCCCAACGACCATCCTCGTCTCTCTCGCCGTTCACCTTCAGGCTGGCTGAGAGCTCCCGCGTTCTGCATTCCGCCCCTCCTAACAGCCTTTCGCCATCCCTCCACGCGACCATCCCTCCCCGCACCGCTCCCCCCACCGCTCCAATCAACTCCCTTGCGTCCCCTCCTTCCTCTCACTGCCAGTCCGTTGCTCCCTTCACACCCACATCTCTCATAACAACTGAGACACCACGGGTGCCATCAGCCCCCTCCGCCATCATCAACCCTTCCCCACTGCACTCTAACCTCTCTTTCCCCTCTTTCCCCTCACTCTCTGCACTTCAGTCAGCCCTCCAAACTCCTCCACCCAAAACACCTCTCACACTCTCCAACCCATCTCAGCACCACCTCTTTCAGCGTTACCCTTCCCCCAGTCCCTCTCTCAGCAACGCTGCTGCCTCCGCCTCGGTGGACTGCTCCCCGCCTTCCGCCCAACCCTCCTCGCCCCAGCTCTCCTCCCAACGCACCGTTGCGCCAGTGGAATCACAGCAGTTGCGAAACGCAGTCACACCGTCAGCAGGAGAAGCTTCAGCTGCTCCCCACCCTGCTGCAGCAGCTACATCCGCGAGCGTGTGTCCCGTTCTTCCCTTTCTTCCTGTGCTTGCAGCAGAACCTACAGAGAGTCTGGCACAAGCAGCAGCCCTTCCATCCCCGTTGTATTCTGCAACAACAGACGCGTCTCCCCTCTCACCATCTGCCCTGACAGCAGAACACGTGAGGCCGCACAAGATGCCTCGGACGAGCCGTGGCGTGCTGCCCCCCGCTGCTCTGGAATTCGCCCGCTCCTTTTTTTCCGGGCTGCCCGGCAGGGATGATTACCAGAGAATCGAGAACAGCAAGGGGCAGCAAACGTTGGAGCGCACGTGCACCAGTGCGAGGGAGTGTCTGCATATTGCAGGGGAAGGCCTGCCTAGTTTGGGCCAATCCTTACTTTCTGACATCGTTAGTGCAGCAACTGCTGCTCCTGGTGTAACTGCTACCCCTGATGTGACTGATTCGCCCGCAGCAGCGGCACTTGCAGCAGCAGCAGAAGGCGTATGTCAGGGAGAGGCATTCATTTGGAAGGATCTGATTGAGCTGGAAGGCGGGCGCGAGGTGGTGTTGTGTGGTGAGGAGAAGAGAGCAGGGTTGGCAGTGGACTCTTGCAGCGAGCTGGAGGACCTCTTTGAGGAGAACGAGCAATCTGGTGTGGCCCCGTATGGCATAGGTACCATAGAATGAACGATTGAGTTGGCTCTTTTTTTTTCCATTGGCTGCATTGCCCTGATTTGACGAGGAAAAAACCTTTTTGGGAGAATTTTCTTTCTAGCAGTTTGATCCTTGGATGTGATGTTGTAGACTTGGAATCTCAACCAGGGCCTCAGATATCAGGAAAAAGACCCTGAAATTCCTGTTTTTGGCAGTCCTTCTTTTACCTACATTGAAAAATCAGTGTTGAGATTTTTGTGGGACTGATCTTTCAGCCATTTTTGTTAGGCCACACTGAAATTTCAGACTTTTTCCCCCAAGTACACTGATTCCACAGCGTTGTAACGAAAGTAACACTGAAAGCAATTCTTACTTGTTCCGTTCCGTGTGGATTTGCCCGCAATTACAGGGAATCTTAGATTCCTGCGGTGCCAGCACTCCATTGGGCAGTTTTGCTGCAGCATGAAGTACCGTATACTCCCGGACAAAACACCCCCCCATAATTGTACACCCCCGGGTAGCTTGTGCGGGGTGGGTGTTATGGGGAGCCTCGTTTCTACTATACCCCCCTTTTTTGCAGATTTTCTATAACACCCCCCTTTTCTTACGAATTCGTTATAATAGTCGTTAACGAGTAGCTGCAATATTGAAGAATATCGCGAAAATTTCTCCCTATATGAAATTCCGCAGTACATTCACTTACAATCTACCGAGATTTCCCCCCTCGCCAGGCCCCCAGAAGTCAGAGAAATTTCTCTGATTTTCCTAAAAAACTCTGATATTTCAGCCTTTTTTCGAAGTGAACTCTGAAAATTCAGCCTTTTTTTGAGAAAAACCAGGAAAAATGCGATTTTTTCTAGTGTGCAGTGGTATTTCTGCAGGAAAAACTCTGATTTTCAGAGTTAAGTCATGTACCAACTCTGAATTTTCAGACTAGCCCAAAACCAATCTGAGGGCTTGCCCCTCGCACTACTTCGCTGTGACCACGTGCAGGCGAATCTTCCGCTGCAAGTGGCAAGAGAGGTGCCACATGGCATTTTCGTGGGGGTGATGAAGCTCGTGGCCGAAACCCACATTCGCGCCTCAGACAGTGATGTTAAATTGAAAATCAAAACACCCACATTGTCTTATTAAATAAACACTAACACTAGAATATACCATATGTAAAGACCCGGGTATTATGTATTTTTTTCCTATGAGGAGACCCCCCCCATTTTTTCCCTGTATTTTTAGCTATACCCTAGGGTGCTATGTCCGGGAGAATACGGTATTGGCTAGTCAGAATGTGGCAACCATGTTAGGGTATGCTAGAGGGCTGCGAGGGTTCCTGCACCTTTGGCTGTGCTGGCAAGCACTGATGCTCCCATTCCCCCCAATCCAATCTCTCTTGTTTCTTTTCCTCCTGTTTCTCTCTCCCTCCCTCTCAGCCCGATTTCTCTCGCGTTTTCTCGTTTGCACTAATACATGGCACCATCAGCACCAAAAACGGCGGGCTGTCGGTGTTAGAATCTTACGGGAAAGTTGTGTGTCGACTATGGAAAGGGAAAGATACAAAGGAGAAACCTAAGGGGTTGTACCCCACAGTGAGTACCCCACTAAGCCTAACCAAACTATAACAAATATACACATATGTTTGACACACCCCCATAGGCAAAGTGGGGGAGAACAGAGGGTCACAAGACCAGTCAAGAAGTGCAAAGCAAGCTCAGGGTGGATCACAACGTCACCACGCAGTCTGAACACAAGCAAGAAGGCCACAAGGCCAGTTCACATGCAGAAATATATATGTAACAACAACAGTACAGTATCTACCTACAAGAACAAGCATGCAGGAATACATATAAATCATGGTACAAACAAGGCCTACAGCAAGTGAGGAAGAGTGGGCACAAGGCCTAACAAAGTGCAGAAACGCTGATGATCACCAGGCGGAAGCGCCTTGGTGAATATATCAGCAGTGTTGGCCCGAGTGGCCACGTAGGTAAGACGAAGCTGGCCACGCTGCTGCAGCTCTCGAGCAAGAAAGTAACGGAGAGCGATGTGCTTTGTTCTGTGCTCCAGTCTGTGCTCCTGACACAAGGCAATGGCGGCCTTGTTGTCGACGTACAGAACTGGAGGAGAACGAGGCCGCTCTCCCAAGTCGGTCAGCAGGTAGGTGAGCCAGCGCAGCTCCTGTGCAGCCATGGCTGTGGCGTAGATCTCTGCCTCACAGCTGGAGCCGAGAACTGAAGACGAACGTGTAGAACGCCAAGAAACTGAACCAGAACCAAGGCTGAAGGTGTAACCCTGTGACGACCGCTGCGTAGCCTGGTCGTCAACCCAAGAGGCGTCCGAGTGACCTGTGAGGACAACGTCACCCCGTCCTCCAAGCACGAGCCCCATGCCCGATGTACTGCACAAGTAGCGTAGTACCCTCTTGGCAGCATCCATGTGCACCTTTCGGTGCCGACCAGGAGCCACGTAGCGAGCCAGAAGGCCAAGAGGGTACGCAAGGTCAGGACGAGTGCAAGTCATCAGGTACATGAGGCAGCCCACTAACTCTGGGTAAGGACCACTCGGCTCTACGGACTCGTCCGAAGGTGGAGCTGAGAGCGAGTGACCTGTAGCCAGAGGAGTGGCCTGTGCTGAGGACCAGGTGAAATCGAAGCGCTGAAGGACCTGCTGCACCATGTGTGACTGAGTCAGTGTGATGGTGCGGCGTGCTCTGTCCCGGGTGATCTGCAAGCCAAGGTAGCTGCGCAGTTCACCCAGGTCTGTGCACGTGTGTCTCTTCTGCAGCTCCGACTTCACCAGGGCGAGAGCCTCAGTGTCAGCAGTGGCAAAGACCAAGTCGTCGACGTACACGAGAACGTAGAACGGCGGCAGAGAAGTGTCGGTGCGCAAAAACAGCGACGGGTCAGCAGTCGACGGAGCAAACCCAAGAGCCGCAAGTGTCGTCCTCAGTGTGTCGTGCCACTCACGTGGCGCCTGGCGGAGACCGTAGACCGGCCGCCGGAGGCTCCACTGGGTACCAGGAGGGAACGACCCAGTGAAGCCAGGAGGGCGGCGCAGCCAAATCTCCTCGTGCAGGCTACCCTGTAAGAAGGCTGTGCTGAAGTCAAGAGAGTGAAGCTCGTAATCACGCTGAGCGGCAACATGCAGCAGCACCCGAAGAGTGGTCATCTTCGGGGTGGGGGAGAAGGTCTGGAAGAAGTCAACTCCCTCTCGCTGACTGAAGCCTCGAGCCACGTACCGAGCCTTGAAGACAGGCGGAGAACCTGGCGGCCGCTTCACCCTGAAAATCCACATGCCACTGACAATGTTCGCCCCAGGAGGGGGAACCTCGTCGACGTAGGTGCCTGTGGACTTCCAGGATGCCATCTCTGCGTCCATGGCTGTCTGCCACTGAGAGGAGTACTCACCCGCGATCGCCTCAGCGTAAGAGCGCGGGGTAGGGATGTCTGGTGCATCCGGGTCTCCCTCAGGGGCAAGCAGCATGGATACGAGATGAGGCGCAGCGGCTGCAAGACACTCAAGGTCCTCCTGTCTGTCCTCAAGGACGTCCGTGCCAAGAGCACACTCACCCCCGACGGACGGAGGATAGACAGACTCAGACTCAGCAACAAGACTGGCGGCGTAGTCGAGACGACAGGCAGCAGCAAAGTCAACAAGCTCAGCGACTAAGGCAGACGCAGTAGCAGACTCAAACGACGGGTCAGTGACAACAGTGGCAAGCAGACGCGTGACAGTAGAGCGCTCAGCACGAAACTGGTCAGACGCAGGGTCAGAAACGACAGGCAGAGAGGACGCAGGGGGAGACGGCAGAGGAACACGCAGTGGAGGAGAGGAAGGACGACGAACGACAAGGTGAGAGCCGGAGACTGCCGGCTGCCGCTGACGAGGAACACGACGACCGGAACGACCAGAACGGACAGGTGAGACAGGACGCGACGCAGGCTCACGACGCTCAGCAAGGCCCCTAGTCTGCTCTGTGTACGGAGAAGGAGCAGGCAGCGGTGAGCCAGGCTGTAACGGAAGACCAGTAGACGAGGGAAGACTGAGAACCTGACGAAGTGCAGAGTCAGGTGGTGGCTGAGACGACGGAGACGGCGGAGCGAAGAACAGGCGCTGCTGAGCAGTGCCACCAGCACCAGCAGCTCCAGCACCTCTAGCAGCTCCAGCACCTCCAGCAGCTCCAGCAGCTCCAGCACCGCCAGGAGTTCCAGGACCCTCAGCAGGTTCAGCACCTCTAGCAGCTCCAGTACCCTCAGCAGCTCCAGCACCGCTAGTAGCTCCAGTACCCTCAGCAGCTCCAGCACCGCCAGCACCTCCAGCAGCTCCAGCACCCTCTGCAGCGCCAGTACCCTCAGTCACAACACCGCCAGCCCCAGCAGCTCCAGTACCCTCAGTACGAGCACCGCCGGGACCAGCGACACCAGCAGAAGAACCCCCAGCAGTAGAGCCCTGAGGTGCAGAAGCGCGACGCTGACGGCGACCGTACCAGTCGTGCAGCTGCTGGGAGGTGAGGGGCACACGCGGACGAAGACGGCTACTCCAAGGAGACCGCGGAAAAGCAGTCGCAGAACCCTCAGGCGACTCACCCCCAGACTCAGCACCCCCAGGCTCCGCACACGCAGGCTCAGCACCCCCAGACGCAGCACCTCCAGACGCAGCACCCCCAGGCTCCTCACGCTCAGCGCCCCCAGACTCAGCACCCCCAAGCTCCGCACCCCCAGGGACAGCACCACTCGCAGCAGGACCGGAGTCACCAGTGACCTCAACAGGCGCAGGGGGGTCTACCTGAGAGACACCTGAAGGAGCAGGACCTGGCGCGAGGAGGGGGTCTACCTGGGGAGGACCTGGGGCAAGAAAGAGCGGCGGGGGGGGGCGAGGAGCAGTGCGGTAGGGGAAGAGGCGGTAAAAGGGGACCGACTCGTCAAAGGTGACGTCCTGAGACGCAAAGACACGGCGCGAGGCGGGGTCGTAAAACTGCCAGCCAGGCGCGTCAGGGACAAAGCCAAGGAAGACGCAAGGAATGGCGCGAGGGGAGAGCTTGTCCGCGGTGGTATCGCGGACAAAGGCACGAGCACCCCAGACCCGGAAACGCGACGCGTCGCCAACCTTCCCCGTCCACAGCAGTGTGGGCGAGGTCTCCGGCAAGGAGACACGGGGCCAAAGGTTGAGCTGATGCGCGGCGTACCGGACCGCAAACGGCCACAGAAAATGGGGGGCAGCCGCATGGATCATGGAGGTACGAGCGACCTCCATGACTAAGCCAATGCGACGCTCAGCAACCCCATTCTGCTGAGGAGAGGCCGGAAGCGTGAAAGTCTGGCGGATGCCATGCTCCGCACAGAAGGCTGCCAAGAGGTCTGAGGAGAACTCACCACCTCTGTCAGAGTGCAGACGCAGGACAGGAAAGTCCGACTGGAACCACTCGCGGAGCTGGAGACGAGTAGCGCGGATCCAGGGGATCAAAACATCAGGGACATCCCCCTTGCGCTGCAAGGGGAAGACCGTGGTGTAGCGCGTGTAGTCGTCGACAACCAGCAGGAAGTACCGCTCGTGGCCCTGTCCGCGGACGCGGGCTGGGCCCCACACGTCCAGGTGGAGAGTCTGCAGTGGAGCCTCTGTGGGAGGGAACGAGGAGGAGTGAGGAGCGGCGCGCTGCCGCCCCTCGACGCAGGGAATGCAGGGCGGCGCAGGCGAGGGAGGGAGGGCAGGCAGAGACCTGGGAAGCCCAGAAACCAGGAGGCGGGAGTGCATGCTGCGTAGGCGAGGCAGGGAGGGGTGACCAAGGCGGTGGTGCCACAGGAGAGTGTCGTGCGACAGTCGGCGACACTCACACTGTGTAGCTACCTGAGCAGACGCGTGCAACCGGGGAGATAAAGGGGCGGAGCGTGACGCAGTGGTGAGGGTGTACAGACTGGACCCCGGCGCACGAGCGAACGTGGCCAGGTGGCGACCAGTCTGGGAGCACGTGCAAATCGCCACACGCTGCCGGCCAGGGGTGAAGGTGTCAACCCCCGCATCCTGGAGGACAGCGTTACTCACCAAGTTCGTAGAGAACGAGGGGAGGTGGAGACCAGACAGCTCACCAGACGGGACCGCCGGACACGGAAGCACAGTGGAAGACCGTGCAAGCACTGGGCCCCCAGAGGGGTCAGCCAGTGAGACAGGAACAGGTGCAGGGAGGGGAGTGACTGTGGGACTGTCGCGAAAGAAACAGCGGGAAGCACCAGAGTCAAGTGTAAAGGTGTGCAAAGCCTGTGCAGGCGCAGTACCAAGGGGAGCAGACTCACAAGCACCTAGTGCTGCAGGGGCTATACCAGGGGTTATACCAGGATCCGGCAGCACACACAAGTAGCAGTCACCCTCAGCACTAACAGACAAGGCATACATAGCAGTGAGAATAGCAGCATAGTCAAGAGCATATATATCTACCCTCTGCCCAAGCAGCTCCACCCAGTCGGGGAGCTCAGCCTCGTCGCCAAACTCGGTACGCCAGGCGTCACTCAGACGGGCGAAGCAGCGGGACTGGGTGTGACTAAGCGTCCCACAAGTCTGACCCGTCCGATCTCCTGTGCGAATGACGTACGGGCAGCGAACGGTACTCAAAGACCCTCTACTCTGAGCGTACCACTCGTGAAGCTGCTGGGACGTAAGTGCCTTGCGTGGACGCGGCTGCAGCTACAGCCGGCCACCGCCAGACGTTCCCAACTGACCAGCTCTAGGGCGACAGCTACGACGACTACCGCCACAACCCCAACTAGCGTACCACTCACGAAGCTGCTGGGGCGTGAGAGACTCGCGCGGACGTCGCTGGAGCTGCATCTGGCCACAGCCAGTACCAGTAGCAGTAGCCTAGCAGAGCAGGCGCGGCAGGCAGACAGGCAGGCAGGCAGGTAGGTAGGCAGACAGGTAGACAGGCAGGCAGGCAGGCAGGCTGGCAGGCAGGCAGGCAGACAGGCAGACAGGCAGGCAGGCAGGCAGGCAGGCTGGCAGGCTGGCAGGCAGGCAGGCAGGCAGATGGCGCGGCAGCGCGCTAACAAGGCAGGTGCTCACCAGTGTCGGGTAGAGCAGGCGCTCGCCGGGCGAGCAGGGCCGGCGCTCGGCGGGCGGCTGCACGGGGTCCAGGGGCGGCGTCGCGGGTCCAGGGGCGGCGTCGCGGGATCCAGGGGCGGCTGCACCAGGGGCGGCTGCTCTGGGTCCAGGGGCGGCTGCACCAGGGGCGGCTGCTTCAGGGGCCAGGGGCGGCTGCTTCAGGGGCCAGGGGCGGCTGCTCGGGGTCCAGGGGCGGCTGCTCGAGGGGCGGCTGCTGCAGGGGCCAGGGGCGGCTGCTCTGGGTCCAGGGGCGGCTGCTCGAGGGGCGGCTGCTGCAGGGGCCAGGGGCGGCTGCTCTGGGTACAGGGGCGGCTGCTCGAGGGTCCAGGGGCGGCTGCTCAAGGGGCGGCTGCTGCAGGGGCCAGGGGCGGCTGCTCTGGGTCCAGGGGCGGCTGCTCCAGGGACGGCTGCTGCAGGGGCCAGGGGCGGCTGCTCTGGGTCCAGGGGCGGCCGCTCTGAGTTCAGGGGCGGCTGGACCAGGGGCGGCTGCTTTAGAGGGGGGGGGGGGGGGGGGGGGGGGAGAGCAGGGGCGGCTGCTGCAGGGGCGGCTGCTCCAGGGGCCAGAGGCGGCTGCTGCAGGGGCGGCTGCAGCAAGTAGCAGCAGCGGCAGCAAGTAGAAGCAGCAACACAGGCGCAGTGCAGCGTGTAGGCCTGGCGTGGGCTGTACTGGCCGCGTGCGGGCCTGACGTGGCCTGTACGGGCTGCGCGAATGCCTAGCGCGGACTGTACGGGCCGCTCTCGGGCCTGACTCGGCCTGTACGGGCTGCGCTAACGCCTAGCGCTGACTGTACGGGCCGCGCGCGGGCCTAACGTAGGCTATACGGGCCGCGCGCGGGCGTGGCGCAGGCTGTACGGGCGGCGCGAAGGCCAGACGGGGGCTGTACGGGCTGCTCGCTGGCTACGCGCGACAGGACAGGGCAGGGCCGCGGGGCAGCGAAAATCGATGCACCTAAGGGCGCATTTCGGGCAGAAAAAAGCAGAGAACGAGATTCGGGCAGGAACACGGAAGGTTTAACGGTGGGCCCTAAAAAAAAAATTTGTCCTAGGCTAGGAACGTCCTAGCTCTTAATGCGCCCATAACCCCCCAGGACAATGAGCCTGTAACCCTTCCCTAGGATCAATCGGGGATCACCAGTGGACCTCTGACACCCCCCCGCACTGGGATGCCCGAAGTGCACACACTGGGATTCGAACCCGAGACCTTCGCTCTGATACCATGTTAGAATCTTACGGGAAAGTTGTGTGTCGACTATGGAAAGGGAAAGATACAGAGGAGAAACCTAAGGGGTTGTACCCCACAGTGAGTACCCCACTAAGCCTAACCAAACTATAACAAATATACACATATGTTTGACAGTCGGGAATCGAACCCATCGTGAGCGCCGCCGAACCTCCTCTTGTTACCGAACACATCGCTCCCGTTCGACGCGATCCGCAGCGCATGCGAGATGGTCGTCGGTCACGTGGCAATTCCCGTCAGCGTCGCAGGCCCGCTACGACTCGACGACGCGTAGTTTTTCGTGCTAATGGCGACGACCGAAGGCTGCCTCGTCGCCAGCACGAACCGCGGTTGAAAGGCCATCTGCGCCGGGGGCGGCGCGCAGAGCGCCGTGCTGCACGACGGCATGACCCGCGCATGACCCGCGCGCTCGCCGTCCATTCCCCCGCTCCCTTTACCCCGCACTCCATCCACTCCCTCGCTCCCCTGGTCGTCTCCTCCCAACCGTGCTAGTCTTCCCTCCTCTCTCCCTGCCTCACCTTGCCTGTCAATCTGGTTCCTCCCCCAAACCCTGCCCCTGCAGCTTCAACGTGTATGTGTCGCAAGCAGAAGTGAAGTCGGGGTGTGTGCTGCGGCAGAGCACTGTTACGTACTGGTGTCCCAAGCTGAGGAGGAGAGAGAAGAACCAAAGGCTAAGGGCAGTGATGATAGCACGGCTGGTGATGATTCATGAGGCATGTTAGCTTAGAAATGTTTCGGAAGGCTGCTACTGACTTAGTATTTAAAATAGAGATTTCTAATAATAACAGCCTTTTATATTATTGAACACTGATGCATCAGCCTTTTTTCAAAGGCAACACTGATATTTCAGGCTTTTTTTTTAGGAACACTGTCAATCAGGGTTTCTACACAGGGCAGGGGTACCCTGATGGGTCGACGACCCTAAAAGTGAATCTGAGGCCCTGATCTCAACACCTTCAGAATTTGCTGATGCCTTTCACTTAGTAGTCTTCAGCCAGGACAAGAATCTTGCAGCAATGCTGACATTGTGAGAGGTCTGAATCAATCAATGCCTGCCTTTCCATGCCATCCCTATCAGGATGACCTGACCTGCCTCCTGCCCTTCCTGCAATGATTAGCAACTAGATGAGGGAATTCATGGTAAACGGCCAGAGCTTTCAAATCTGGCTTCAGTACTCAATGGTGGCTAGCATCGCTGGCAATGAAGCTAACAACTTTCAACGTAAGCCCTGCTTTGACCTGCGCAATCACCCGTCATGCTGACTGCGTGGACCAGCCATCTTGCCTGTCTTGCATTAACAGCCTGGTACACTGAATTCATATGCAGCGAGGAAATGAGTGACCTCCAACATATCCACCAGCCATGGACCGCTTCACATTGTAGTCGAATTGCCGTGGGTTCGTGCGCAGAACCTCTGCTGCTTCATGGTTCAAGGGGTCATCGGGATTGGGATCCTGTGGGACAGCAAAGTTGGGAAGCGTTAGGATTGAGAACATGAATACGCAAAAAACAAACGTATTGCTCCAGCCGCAATCCATTTCGAGCAGGACTGCATTCCAGCCCTTCAACCCCTGCATGACCATACATCAGATTCCATGAAACCCTGCATTTTCCAGATACCCCTCGTCCACCAAATCCCCAATCAAAACATGTGAAGCCTCACATAGAGTCAAACGTACCAAGAAAAGAAACTGCAAGCCGTAGACAATAGAGTTGATGCTCAAAACAGGCTTCCAGTCTTCTCTCAAAATGTTTAGGCAAACATTTCCTTCTAGGTCAATGTTTGGATGGTACACCTGCAAGCGACATGAAGAACGATCAGCAATCAAGACGCTCTTGCATAAGCGACATTTTGACCTCAAGACCACGTTTTAGCAACATGGACAGACTTGATACATGAGGTCATGGAAATCATTTGCTGCTGTACCTTGGTTTTGCACTTCACTTTGGGAGCTTCATGAGGGTAAGAGGGTTGAACCTCGAAGCTGAAAGTGAACGTTCCTCCCCTGAGAGGTGCAAGGAGGTTGGAAGGGAGCGTTTGACAAGGGATGCACGATTGACAACGCATCTAAGGATAGGTTGGATTGAAGCTGGTAGGGATGAGAGGTTTGGTGAGCGATGCAGGAAACGGGTACAGACAAAAGGTGGAACAGAGCTAGCGAGGGGAAAGCAGCAAAGAAACAGGGATGCAACGTACAACGGAGGCAGGAGAACGTACACCAAGCGAGATCTCGGAACTAGGTGACTATAGCGTGGAAGTCAAGAAGCGCTTACAAGTAGTAGCCTTCATCGGGCTTAATCGTAATCTCGAACTTCAGAAGATTATCCTTTCCCTCTGGGAATGCGATGCTCGTTGTCGTAGGAAGATTCAACTCGGAAATATCTGCACGGAACAGCACAACTCAGCATCCTTCTTTGTTTTCCAAGGCTCAAGTGATTGCGAACGCTGTAATAACTCCGGGCGAAGGTAAACGACAGTGACAGGGAATGCTCACCCTTTTGAACTCTCAACTCGCCAGCAGATTGTTTCCTTCCTGGAGCTCTGCCATTATTGCTTTCTGCTGCTTCCCGTTGCTTCTTCTTGATCATACCTAGGTTAATCATATTGACTAAATGCGAAAACTCTAGGCTACTGCCTACGGCGAACTCGAAACCCTTTGTCCCAAGACTACTCCTCTGCCTATCAGTGCACTCCACTCGGCGACGCGAAGGATTAGGAAATAGAGCGTAGACGCGTAGAGGAGACCGGAAACTTGGGATAACTACTAAAACACCCGAGGAAGCAACTCCTGACTAAATTCAAGCTGGCCTTACCAGAACGTCGTGCGACTAGCAAACGTTACCTAGAAATCTGTTCCAACACCGGGAAAACCAAGTCATAGCAAGCTGCTATGAATTATATATATGGACGATACATGTGGTGCGGTGCGGTTAGTTGTTGGGAAGGCAAGTTGCTGTTGGTTACAAATTGTTAATAAATGACACATACAAATGTAGACACAGGAATGTACCCTTAGTAACAAGTGCAAACTGAGGTGATTCAAAATTCGGCTTGTTCTTGAAAATTCACAACTATGTTGTTATGCGTCAAGCAATGCGTGACTGTAAGAAGGCCTTCAATGGCTGGACCTTGGCAATGTTAGCCTGGTGTTTCAATCTTATACTGGCAACTCAGCCTTCAAACATCGCCTCCGGCAGTAGGTTTTGAGACCTTGGTTCGTCAAATACCTGCCAAGCAACCAAATGGGGCAGACAAAGAGATGCTGCAATATATCATGAACCAAAGTTCAGCTACACAATCCTATCTGCAGCATTATGTTAGAAAACAGACAACATGTAAGTTCAAGAACAGGCACAGCAGCAGAAAGAGCAGATGCTTGTACAGCAGAGGTTGCATGTATACTTGTATACATCACCTTGTAGGTGTAAACAGGCCCTGAGAAAAATGGGTTATCAGCAGTAGGACACGGCTGCGTGTTGTGGGGCTGCAGTGTTAGGACTAGTAGGTTGAGCAGATAGGGAAGGTCGCCCTGCTGAAGTGCGTCCAACAAGCCATCTGTTGCAGAAACAAGATGCAAGAAGGAAAGTGAATGGCAAGGAGAATGTTTTCAGTAAGGAAGAGGGGGCCAGGAGAGTATCTGTGCGTGTATGTGTATGCAGAGAGAGAGAGGAGGGTGTGTGTGTGTGTGTGTGGATGGAGAAAAATACAGACAATCAGGAACTGGAAACCCAGGACGGGGAGTGTACCGCATATGAGCGAGACCACGCGGGGAGAAATGGGACGAAGTGAAGTGGCCGTGACAATCCACTTAAGAACCGCAGGCGAGGTCCGGAGCAGCGCCACAACTGACTGCACCAAGATGCGCGGAACCACTATCCGCAACACAGAGCTCGCTACCTGTCCCCTGAATGACTGCTGCACTAACTGCCACACTCCACCAGCCTGCTGCCGCGACATCACCACCTCAGGTTGACCGCCTGGTAGCCTCTCCTCCGCTCCCGCATGCATGCCCGTTTCACGGCCCCTAATTTCCTCATTAGTGTCACCACCTTCGCCAGTGTTCAGAACCCCTGGTGGCCCCAGTAGCAGCAGCCCTGCTACAAGCCCTTGACCCAGCCTTTCAGCAGCGGCATGAGCAAGAGGGGAGCCTAGGCCAAAACCCACTATCCACAGCCCCGGTACCACGTGCAGCTGTTGCGCTAGCTGCTTGATATCGTCAGCAACAGCAGAGGCGAATGATGCCGTTGTGGTGGTGGCTTGGAGAGGGAGAGGGTCACTGAACCCTGTGCCAGGGAGGTCGAACGAGATCACGCGGATGGACCGCTGATGAAAGAACGCCTCACTGCGAAGCAACGGAATAACAGCAAAATATGCTCGTCAGATTCGTACATACAGTAAGGACTGTAAGACTCGCTGCGGTAAATTGATCTGGCAAGAGGAGTTAGAAAAAAGCGTACCTGAGACCTGGAAAACCTGCCGTGCGGCAGAGAGGGGGTGCGTGGACGACCAGGAGCGTGTGACGCGTACTTCCCTGCGGGACTCCAAACTCCTGCCACGCGAGACGCCGTCCGTCCGTCAAGCGAATGCGCTTCGGCTCGGGTAGCTTTCTTTGAAAGGGTGAGAGTATAGTCGCACAGCCGATGCACGTTCCTGTAAACATTATTACATGGGGAAAGAGTGAGCGAGTGTGTGTGAGTGTGAGAGCGAGTGTGTATGAGTGTGAGACTGAGAACGATAGCAGGAGCTCACACGCAGTGGTGTTCCAGCATCGAGTGAGGGTGCTTACCAGCGAACGACGTGTAAGCGAGTGTAGCTCCGATGACGAGAAGTGTTAGCATTACCAGGCAGAACGGTAGCGAGATGAGGATTAGAGGAGCCACAGGAAGCAGGAGAAACGACCAGAGAATGAATGAAGACAGGTCTCCGCCTCCCCGTTTCAGACTCATGATAAAAGATGAGGAGGTGGAGTGAAGGCTAGACGGCCACGTGGTGTAAGCCGTGGACCAGGCTGACGTGGACTCCCGTGAGTCGCATGATTCCCGGTCGCCGTCTCGTTGGTCGTCCAGGACCTCTCCTCCAGCCGCTCCGGCAGAAGATGATGCTTCCGTGGTAGCGAATGACGACAAGGCAGGCATCTCCTCAGCATCGTCGAAGTTGACCTCTTTTGACTCGTCTGATCTTGGTGACAGCTGATCTGGCGAGCGAGGCGGAGTGGAATGAACAGCGGCTTCATCTGTGTTAGGTCCAAATTGAAAAGCTTCTGGATGCGAGGGTTCTGACGTTGGTACATGGAGTGGCATTGAGAGCTCAGACGTAGGCTCAGATTTCGCCGGAGCCAGATCTCTGCCTCTGCTTGACTGAAGCCTTCCGCTAACAGAGTTGACATCGCGCGGGACCACAGGAACATGACCCGGACTGTCCTTCCGAGCTTCCTGGCCTTTCACTTTCGGCATACCCCATTCTTCGTCCAGCAAGCTTAGCAAGTCCTGGGAGGGAACTGAAACTGCTTGTGCATTCGACGAGCGTCTCGACTTCCGAAACATTGTTACTCCTGACAGAGAATTACTCCGAGCTAGCACGAGATTCCACGGCTGGCTGGACGAGTCATAAACATCCAGGCTCAAGCATTTCTAGCCAACAAATTGAACAAACTTGCAACAGAACTCTTATCATCGAGTAATCAAGCAGAAAAGTGTGCGCGGGGTGATGTGGGAAACTGGAGAATCCTCCTGAGGTGTGTGGGTAGGGATGGAGAAGAGTGTCATGTCATTATGCGAGCAGGAGAAAAGGGGTTCACTTGGGCGGAATGCTCTATGTTCGGCAAGTCGAGTCAAACGACTCTCCAGTCTTGACAGACCAACACCTGCATCCGAGCCAGGTTCCCTGCCACTTTCCTGGGCCGAACCTTGTCGGCTTTCCCAGGTTCGTTTGTCAGGTGTCACACACGGCAGGAGCCAGACCAGGCCTCGACCCATTGGTGCCCTTGACGGCTGTTGATTTTCACACTGGGCTCGGAAGCGTTGATTATGGGAACTAGAGAGCTTCAGCCAATCACATGGCTCATCAACTCCGCGCCGAATTTCTCACAACTTTCTCATTTGCGCAGAGCCATGTAGCGCCAGATTATTTCAACGTACCGGTATACTCACTTTTTAGTTAATAAAAGATATCAATCCACCCAAATCCAGCTGCTACTTTTTAGCTGGCAGGTTCAGGCTGGCAGAATATAATAAATAAACGACATCCAAACAATGACGAGCTTTTAAGAGCACATTTGCACACAACCTCAAGTCACAAGACCTGTCTGCCGTTGCAGCCACCGTTCTCTCCCATTCACCACCCATGGCATCCGCAATACCTCCTTCGCACTTGGCCGGTGCTTCGGATCTGCAGCCAACAATCTCCTCACCACATCCTTCGCCTCCCCTGACACGCTCACCCACGCCGCCGTCCCCATAGGAAGCTGCGCCCTGCGAATATTCAACAACAGAAGCCGAGTGCGCCGCCCAGAAAACGGCAGCTGGCCGCCTGACAGCACCATGTACAGACAAATGCCAATGCCCCAGACGTCTGCAGGGAAGCTGACGGGGAGCCCTGCCGCCACCTCAGGTGCCACGTAGGCAGGGCTGCCAACAAGGCCTCGTGTGGCTGCCTGCCCCGGCTGAAGCTTCTCTGCGAGGCCAAAATCAGCCAAACGCAGCCCTTGCACTTCACTGAAAGCAGGGAGAGGGGTATTGTTGGAGTGTTGGTGCTGCTGCTTGCATGCACAGGTGCACAAGGGGAGAGCAGCAGCAACAGCAGCAGTACAAATGGAAAGTTCCGTATGGCCTGCCTTGAAAGACCGCTCCCCATCGTCCAGTTGCTGCATCAGCTGCTGATGCTGCTCCTGCTCCTGCTCCTGCTCCTGCTTCTGCTGCTGCTGCTGCTTCTTCCGCAGGCTGGTTCGACCCAGCCAGCTGGCGAGAGAGCCAGAGCGCCTGTGCCCATGCGCGTTCCCATGCACGCTGCCATACATCCTGCCATGCGTATGGGCCCCACCAGAGTGGGGTGGATGGGCAGCAGCAGCACCCACACTGGCTGCCTGATACCGCCCTGACTCAGCCGCCACGGGCCTACCCCTCGCCCCACAGTCGGCAGCATGAGCACCAGCAGTGGTGGCGAGGATGGAGAAGGAGGGGCTCTTGCACAGGAACTCACTGCTTGGCTTTATTGGTGTTGACTGCCCCACTGACGTTGACCGCCCCACAACATGTGCAGAACGGAATTTTTGGTCCTCGGAGGACGCAGCTGCGGTGCAAGGGGAACGTGGAGAGGCCAGAGTGGTGATTAGCTGGGAGCTGGGCGGCTGTGTCAAGAGAACGTTCTCTGGTTTGATGTCTCGATGTAAGATGCCCCGTTTGTGGCAATAAGCCACTGCAGCAGCGATCTCATAGACTATCCACGCTGCTTCGTCCTCCCACTCCTGCTGCCTCCTCCTCCCCTCCTCCGTCATCCCTCCATACACCACCGCCCTACTGCTCTCTCCCCCACCCGCTCCTGCAGACTCAGCTCCTGCCGACGTGGACAACCCTGCAGCCCCTGTGGCCGGCGAGAACCCCGCATTAGTTCGCCCCGCGAACGATGCCGCAGCAGCCGCTTCTGCCTCCGCGAGTTGCGCTAGCTCGCCCGTCGATGCCGACTTCTCCATGCCCTTTCCCGTCAGCGCCTTTCGTGGCACCCAATCAGCTTTCAGCTGCGACGCCACGGAATCTTCGTCCTCCTGCTCCGTAGCTTCGTCCTCAATTCTCTCACTCTCTCTACCACTCTCCCCCAATCTTTCTTCGTCGCGCATCCTATGCCGCCAATCGCGGCCTGCTGAATCAGTCCCTTCCAGCGCCTCCACACCCTCGTTCTCTCCGCCTTCTTCCTCCGAGTTCGATTCCCACGTCGCCGCCTGATACCATCTGTGAGGACTGTTCTCCGCATCTGACGCCACTCCCGTCGCCGGCGGTGACGGCGAGGCGTTTCCGGAGTCTGCGGGAAGGAAACCGACAGGCGAACGATCTCCCCCGGCAGCGACGCGCGCTGAGGGTCGAGCGACTTGGTAGGAGTGCAAGGGGCACGGGGTAAAACCCGAAGCGGGAATTGCGGTAGAAGAGGCGGCGGGAGAAGCAGCGGCAGGAGAAACGACGGCGGGGGCGGCGGCGGCGGCCAAGGTGGCGACTTGGCCGCGGCGGCGTTTCTCGAGGAATTCGGCGAGCGAGCCGCCGCGGCAGAGCTGCATGACGATGTGGAAGTGCTGCCGGCCCTCCACCACAGATAACATCTGCACCACGTTACCCTGCCCCACGTTACCCTGCACCACGTTACCCTGCCCCAATGCTAGTGCTTCCGCCGCTCCAGAATCGACAGCGCCTTCGGCCACAGATTCTTCGGCTACAGCCGGTTCAGCTACAACGGTTGGACTCGTCGATACAGCCCGATCCGGCTCGTCAGCCTGACCGGCTGTAGTGACCGATCCGAGCATGAGGCTGATTTCAACTTCCGATTCGACCAGTCGCTGCTGCCGAGCCACATCAGCCTCGGTCACCTTGGTTCGGATTAGCGACGGAAGGGCGCTCTGGCGCGCTTTAGGGATGCTCTTAATGGCGACGCGGGTGCTCGTAGCGCGATCTACGGCCTCGTAGACGGAGCCGAACCGGCCGCGGCCGATTCGGCGAACGATGGAATAACGCGATCGGATGCTGCCTTTCGTGATGGTTTGTATCGAATTCTGATTGGCGGGGAGGTTTCTATCCTCGATTTTAGCCATATCGTTTAGGTCTTGCGGCGGTTTCTCGTTTGGTTCTGCTGGCGTGGACGCGGGTGGAGGAGGGCGAGGGAGAGGGAGGGGAACGCAAGCGAGGGGGCCTGAGACGGAGGAATCTAACGCAGCGCGAGAGACCAACAATGCCGTCGCGTGGCCATCAGATTGGAATGGATGGACCTGCACGGATCGGCTCGACGGCGTGTCGTTGTGAGAGTGAAATGCCTGAAGCGGCTGGAAGGCCTCTGGAGAACCGGCTCTGACGGAATGAACGTCCGCCATGGCTGCGTGCGGCGGGCCGCGGTGCGCGTCGGTGTTGAACGTCCCGGATCTAGCAGCTGCAGGAACCACTCTTTCCTATGTAATACAATCTAGCTTGGAGGCTAGCGTAGCATTGTACGGAAGGTCCAAGCAGGTTGGCTGGAAGAAAGGTGCCAGGTTAGAGGGTGATGGTGGCTCGCGAGAGGAAGGAAAGAATGGTGGTTGTGGTGCTGGTATTCAGAGAAGAGACCCTTGTCGCTGAAATTCCCTGGCAGCCCTGTCTTGTCCGATTGGGCCACGCTGCCATTTGAGGGTGGGGAACATTCCTTGTACTGTAGGCCCTCCCAAACCAACCCAATTCTTTCTTGTTTCATCCCAATTCACTTGATTCCTCCTCCCAGAACGCACCTACGGGTGTGACTTGGCATCGCGACTCGATTGGTCTGTCGCATTGAGCACACCTGATCGCTCGATGTGTCCCAGTTCACGGCAGATCCCAGCCATTACTGTGAATTCCTCGATCGCACCCGTTTATCCGGACGGAGTACAAAGCTGGATCATGCAATTTGCTGTACCGAGTCAGCATGCCTACGCTGTCTTGAAGGAGTATCCTGATGACGTGGCGACGAACATGTGTCGGTGAGGTGATGCCATGACGACAGCAACTAACCATTTCCGTTGTGGAGAAGCTTTCCGTCATAAACTGACTTATAGCGTCTCGATATTAGGATGCTATAATGAGCACACCTTAATCACTTATATTACTGTTTTCCGAACAGTTTACAGCTTTCTAGTAATTGCAGATTTGCACGAAATTTCAAAGACGAGTGTTGTCTCCGCTATTGGAACAGACGGCGGCGGCCCGAGCCTTTATGCCGTCGCACTGTAACGGCTTGCCTGATTACAGCGCTATTTTCGGCGGCGTCGCCTCGACTGCGGTTCGGCAACAAACCCTTGAGACCTCGCTTTTGACACTGCTCTACCTTCGTAACTAGGAGAACAACCATGATATGGCCAAATATAACACGTCGAAACATGATAATACCGAGGGAATGGCCCTCGGGCAGGGACCTAAAGAAAAACAGAGCCGCGAAGACAGTGGCAATGTCAATTGACCCTACGCGGATGTCATGTCAACAGATCTCAGGTTCCCAACCACTCGCAGAGAATCCGTGACGATGCGCGGTCGCCCCAACTGGTTTCGTGCACGGTGTACACGAGTCGCAACATCGACGGCCACGCCTTTCGTCGTTGAAGCTTGTTTCCTCAGCTCCGCTCACGCCGCTCTCTTAGACTCCCCGTGCGGGTCCTCCCTATCCGCACTCTCGTTCTCCGTCGCCGTCTCGCTAACCCAGGCCCTGCACAACGGGCTATGCGCGTCCGGCAAGATCCGAACCCACGTCTCCCAGTTCATTCTCGAGTGCCTCGAGGATATCGAAGCGGAATTGCCGCACATACACGCGCCCCCCGTCGACTGTTGGGAGTGGGACCTCGTCGCAGGCCCCGTGCCTGTGCTTGCCACTCACCATCTCGTTTCCGAGTCGCCGTCTTGCGATAACGGTCAGGCTATCAGGCCGTCGAGATCGTCGTCGCTGTCTAAGACGGCGTCGAATGCGGCGGTGCGGGCGGAAGGTGCGTCGAGGGGTCTGCGCGTGCAGTGGCTGGACGAGGCGAAGGGCGCGGCGCTGGCTGCCGTCAGGGAATTCCGTCGCTGGTGCGTGACGCGGGGAATTGCGGGTTGTGCGCGGATTAGGTGGTTGAAGGGAGCGGGTTCGGATGCGGGGAACTCGCTGGTGCGGATTGGCCGGTGTGGGGGAGGCAGGGGTGGAAAGATTAGCGGTTGAGAGTGCGTGCGGTACGGTCTGGCTAGGTTGTGCTGGTGCTGCAATGCGTGAGGCTTGACGCTTCAGTACGACTTTGCTCTCTCCCACATCAGTTTTCCAAGTACATGGAGAATTGTGGATCTTAATATTGTGTTCCCCCGCATATTTGTCTCGTCTGTATCTGCAGTGATCATGAAGCCGCCGCGATGGGCTACCGTACCGAGTCGTGCTATATCGAGGATAGTTCCTGCAGCTGCTCGCTCCAATAACACCGTTAGTCCTTAAGATAGAACGGGGTTGTTCGTGTTGCCGTTACTACACCCGCGTTCCCCATCCGTTGACATAATAAGGGGTTGATTTCTAAATGTCAGTTCATTAGGGTTGAAAGGTAGTGGTAGCAGCACTGCTTTTATAAATCCTGGTATAATAAATACATGTACTGTGGGCATATGAAAATGTCAGCTCTTCCCATGCAATTGTTGCTGTACATATGAACTTAGCCACCAAGCAAGGGAAATGTATACATTTCATACAACTTGTCACATCTCAACTTGGCCACCTAGCAATGCGGCACTTTCATTCTCCAAGTTGACGACAGCATGAGTCAGGGGCACCTTAGGACCTGCTGTTGCTGCAACTGCTGCTGTTCCTTCACCCAGCACATTTTTTTCCCCGTTAACATCAATCCCACCCTCAATGTTCCCCGAAGCAGCTTCCTTCTGAGATGCCTTGAGGTTAGGAGATAATGCAAGGATGTAATCTATGGACGAACGGGGGGCGTTCCGAGCAGCCCTGGCATAGAGAGCAAGGGCGAGGAGCATGGTAAAGACGAGCACGGCAATAAAAAGAATACCTGCGAGCGCAACGCCCAGATGCTCCTCCGCTTCCGTCTCACACTTAACCATCTTATAATCAACATTGCGACAGCCTGGTAAGTGGAGCACTCCATAGAGGAACAGAGACATGGTCCAGAGCCAGAGGCCTTGGAAAAGAAACCCCGAGAGGAACATTGCATCGAGGAGGAAGCAGGAGGGGAAGGCGGCGACGAGGAGCGCGAGCAGGAAGCAGATGAGGCCAGCGAGTGCTTGGAAGAGGTGGAAGCGGGGCTCGAGGCCCTTGTGGGAGATGGAGTGGAAGGTGGTGAGAATGGCCTCGCTGAAAAATCCGATGGCGTAGAGGATGTGCAGGGAGCCTGGTGGGAGAGGCAGGAGGCTGGGCATGGAGGCGGTAGGAATGAAAGTGGGGAAGAGGGGTGGGTGAAGGAGGGGAAGAGGGAGGGGTACGGGGGTGGGGGGAGGGGGGATTTAGAAATGTCAGGAAGATTGGGAGGTTTCACAGGTGGGACGGGAAGTAGAAGGGAGGTTTGGAATATGACATGAGAAAGATGGAACCATGCGGACTACATTCATAAATTTGCACTGAGATTCGGCAGATACAGAGCTTCAATTCAATTATCCATTCCGAAATTTTCTCGTACAATTTTCCTTGGTCTCACCTGGTTGTGTCATGGACATAGAAGATGAGTCCTATAGTAACGAAGACAGCAAAGAGCAAGGCGTGCTGCGGTGAGGAACGAAAGGGGTGCAGGACGAACGGAGGGAGAAGGAAAGAACACATGTTGCAGCTCAGAATGTGAAACAAGCAACGCATACTGTTAAATGGAAGGCGAACCAAGCACAACACGGTGCAGTGTGGTTCGAGGAGGTACTGAAAGAGAGGCATTTCAAGGTGCAGCGTCTCTACAACAAACAAAGGATCTGATGCTTCCTCAAGCTCACACGCAACAAACTTGAGAGCATCTCGAAACGTGAAAACGAAAAACAAGAAGCACGAGAATCTTAGAAACTCACCTCGAATTGAATGACTTCAAATCTATGCTCAAACGCGGACAGAAGTCCCAGCAGCAGCCCTTCCATGAGCTGCGCGAACGCCCCACAGACGAGTACGTACACCACGAGCCGCACCCAGTGTCCGCGAATCGGCACCGGATGCCATGCGCGCGCCACGTACGCGTGCGGCGCGGCGAGGTAAGCGCGAATGGCGCAGAGAAGGTTCCAAGAAGCGAAAATGAGAATGACCGTTCCGGCGCACGTGTGACCGAGGAAGGACCCCATTTTCGTCCGTTAGAGTCGCAGGTGATCGTCACCCTTGTGACCGCCACGCTAGTGACGTCTGACGGAGTAGCACCAGTAGGCTTGTTTCGAGACGTCACCTACTACGAACGCGGGTCGCCACGCTAGTGACGTCTGACGGAGTAGCACCAGTAGGCTTGTTTCGAGACGTCACCTACTACGAACGCGGGTTTTAGCAGCTCAAACGGTAAGTTGAAGTCACGGTGACGGAGTTTTGAGTTGAGACTCCAAGATTGAAATACTATGGTGGCAGCAGAGAAGAGAGCAGAAGCGTGATTCAGCCCGATACCGAGGACCGTTAGCACGGTGTCAATATCTGCCAGTAAGTGCTCATTGTGACTCGTGAAGGGTCTTGGGTGCCATGATGGCACCATGGTGCCTCGGGTACAGTAGCAGTCAGTCCAAGTCAGCGGTGACCTGCTCGACAGGCAACAACTTGTGCGTGTGGTTGCAAATATCTGGTTGTGCGCGTGAAGCAGTGGACAACGTTGAGCAGCATCACTGGTTTTGGGCCCTGTTCGACTGGCGCATCAGTGGTGAGGCTCGGGTACCAGCTCAGGTTCGGATGTAGTGCTCGGGGACCAGCTCAGGTTCGGGTGTGGTGCTCGAACGAGAGGTAGTGGTTTGGGGTTTGTCAAATTGGTCCAATTTGTATGTCAAGTTTGTCAAACAAGGTGGGTGTTCGACTTTTACAGAGCGGGCAGTTGTGTGGGGAGAGTTTGACAAACTCGGGGGGTGTTCAACTTGGCGGGCACCTAATGCTGCCCCACATCAGCTGGTGCTGCCCCGCATCAGCTGGTGCACGCATGGTGCTAGCTCTCCACGATGCACCATGCGCGCATCAGTGGTGCTTCGGTTTGCCAGGAGAGGATGGTTCCGGGAACGCACATTTGGCTCCCAAACCGGGGGCCAAAAAGGGTGTTCGGCTGGCATCGTGCACCAGTTCGCTTCGGTGCCCCGTCGCCCCTATCCGCGCCCCACGGCCCCGCTGGCCCTGTCGCCCCTGGCCGCGCCTCGCGGTCCCGTTGGCCTCGTCGACCCTAGCCGCGCCCCTCGGCCCCGTTGGCCCCGTCGCCCCTAGCCGTGCCTCTCGGCCCCGTTGGCCCCGTCGACCCCTAGGCCCCTAGCCGCGCCTCTCGGCCCCATTGGCCCCGTCGAGCTAGTCGCGCCCCTCGGCCCCGTTGGCCCCGTCGCCCCTAGCCGCGCCACTCGGCCCCATTGGCCCCGTCGCCCCTAGCCGCGCCCCTCGGCCCCGTTGGCCCCGTCGCCCCTAGCCGCGCCCCACGGCCTCGCTGGCCCCGTCGCCCCTAGCCGCGCCTCGCGGCCCCGTTGGCCCCGTCGACCCTAGCCGCGCCCCTCGGCCCCGTTGGCCCCGTCGCCCCTAGCCGCGCCCCTCGGCCCCATTGGCCCCGTTGCCCCTAGCCGCGCCCCTCGGCCCCGTTGGCCCCGTCGCCCCTAGCCGCGCCCGTTTGCCCCGTCGACCCCGTCACCCCTAGCCGCGCCCCTCGGCCCCGTTGGCCCCGTCGCCCCTAGCCACGCCCATTTGCCCCGTCGACCCCGTCACCCCTAGCCGCGCCCCTCGGCCCTGTTGGCCCCGTCACCCCTAGTGCAGGCCCCTTCGGCCCCTCGTGGCCCCACTTGTTTGGCCCCTCGGCCCCTCAGCCCCTAGGCTCGGCCCCTCGGCCCCTCAGCCCCTAGCCTCGGCCCTTCGGCCTCATGTTTGGCCCCTCGGCCCCGCCCCTTGGCCCCGTGGCCCCTAGTCCCCTCGGCCCCCCAGCTCCTAGGACCCGTGGCCCCTCGGCCCCGCCACCCTTTTGTTTGACCCCTCGGCCCCTAGGCCCCTCGGCCCCTATTCTTGGCCCCTCGGCCCTCACCCTCGTGTTTGGCCCCTCGGCCCCTAGGCCCCTTGGCCCCTCACCCTCGTGTTTGGGGCGCCTATCCCAGACCCGAGTCAGCATATCCCAGATCCGAGTCAGCTGTTGTCTGCTGCTCTCAGAAGCTTCGAGAGAGCACGCTTTACTGTGGCCGGTACCCGAGCCTGTGCCTGATGCGCCAGTCGAACAGGGCCTTGATTTTTGATTCTTGAACTGTGGAATCCAGGCCATCTGCTGCTCCATTAGAGTTCAGCTCTTGCCTGCTGACTTTCTATGGAAGAGATGAGGAGGCGGACAGCAACCAACTCCCTAGGAACGTGCTTGTTGCTCCAAGCTCGAACCAACACCCCACCGACACTCACTGAAGCTCACTGACACGGTTAGACATGCTCAGACTCCCATGGATTCCACAAGACCCCCTCACCCGCGCTCACCTCAGATGCCAGATGTGAAGTGAGGAAACTCTGATAGCATGCACAGGGATGGATGTTCACTGGGAGTAGGGATGAGGGTAGGGCGGTGAGATTGGATCAGGTTGGATGTGATATTAAACGGTGAAGGTGGTTTTGATGAGTTTGGGATGGGGAGGGGGAGGGATCAATCACACGTTTTCGATAACCTTTTCGAATCTGGTACCGGTACAAAAACCTTACATTATGGTAACAGCAATATGAATCAATAAGAAATGGAGATTATATTCTGTCAAACTACTGGACAGCCACAAGGTGGATGTGATTCCTACAGTGGGTTGTGTGCGCATGCCCCTCTAGTGCAACTATATGACAATATATTAAAGGCAGGGCTTCTCACACCCATCCACAACTACGGCTACCGTATATGCAACAATCCTACCCTTTTTTTCATCATCCAAGAAACATGCAATGGTACACAAGGACATTAAAGCAACCGGATTCACACCTCTGGTACCTTTTTCCTTTAAGATAAAAGGCCTTTCTCCTCGTCTACACCTGCATCTGTGTCCGTACCGTTCTCATGCGCACTAAGCGCCCCTAACACAACCTCTCCCTTGCAACCATTCCCGCTCCCCCCACTAGTTCCATCATTTCCCTCCCCCTCCCCACATTCCACAGCATGTGTTGCATGGATAAGATCAAGAGACGACCGAGAAGCAGCGCTCGCAACCATGCCGTAATACACGAGTGAGAGCACGAGGGTGCAGGCGAGGAGGGCGATGAACTGAAGCACAGCGAGGGCCTCGGCTCGGTGCTCACTTGCATCGGAGTCGCAGTGCACTGTGTCAGGACCCAGGTAGCAGCCCGCTGGCACCATGGGGCCGTATAGGGACATGGCGGTCTGCAGAGGGAGGGGAGGGAGCGAAGGAGGCAGGGAGAGCAATGAACAGCAGCATAGCGAGGGCCATGGCTCGGTGCTCGCTGGCATCGGAGTCACAGTTCACGGTGTCAGGACCCAGGTAGCAGCCCGCTGGCACCATGGGGCCGTAGAGAGACATGGCGATCTGCACACACGAGAGGGGATGCAGGAGGGGAGGAGGAGGAACGAGGGGAACAATCAGGGGAAAAAATTCTGGAGCTGTCTCCTCAATGCTGCCGAGTCGCAGTGCACGGTGTCAGGGCACAGGCAGCATCCTGCTGGCACCATGGGACCGTATAGGGACATGGCAGGCAGCACGCACGAGAGGGAAGGAAGGGGCGGAGGAGACAGTGGGGGACCAGGCAAGTGAATCTTGGTATGGTCTGTTGTGATGGAGTGCGGTCTTATGCGGTACAGTACTCTACTGTATGATGCCATACAGAGTGGTACGGTGCAGAGATGCAGGAGACTGACCTGCCAGAACAAGAGCCCCTGCAGGACATGGCATGCCATGGTGTGGTACGCTACGGTACAGTGCGGTACATGTTTGTAAGTGACTTTACCTGCCAGAACAAGAGCCCCTGCAGGACAATCGCGCCGCTGCCAACTGCATCGAGCAGGAAGGAGTGCGGCATGGCAGCGGCCAGCAGCGCACACACAACACAGGCAGAGATGGAAATGGCGAGCAGCATGTGGTAGCGTGGCTCTAGGCCGTGGTGCGCCGTGGAGTGCAGCGTGAAGAGCATCCCCTCACAGAAGAATGCGAGCGCTGCTAGGATGTGAAACGCGCCCAGAGGGAGGGGGAGCAGGCTGTGGGAAACGGGATGGGGATGGATGGAGAGGGATTGGGGAATGGGGGAGATGGGCGGGGAGGGGTGAGGAGAGATGGGAGTGCGGCGGATGGGGAGGGATGAGGGGAGGAAGCGGTGGAGGGGAGTGCAGTGAGGAGAAGAGCAGCATGTGGTAGCGCGGCTCGAGGCCGTGGTGGGCCGTGGAGTGAAGGGTGAAGAGCATCCCCTCACAGAAGAATGCGAGTGCCGCTAGGATGTGAAACGCGCCCAGAGGGAGGGGGAGCAGGCTGTGGATGGAGTGGGGATGTGTGGAGAGGGGTGCGGAGGGATTGGAGGGGAGGGGTGAGGAGAGGATGGGGAACAAGCCATGGAGTGCAGGGAAAAGAAGTCTAGAAGAAGGCGAGTGCTGCTGCTAGCACGTGCGGTGCACCCAGCTCTGCTGGGGCAATGCTCCTTCCGTCCGTTCCCCCGCTCACCTGGTGGTTTCGCTGATTACTCTCGAGGCGCCTCATAAGCCCTTCCATCCGTTCCCCGGCTCACCTGGTGGTTTCGCTGATTAGAAGGGCGCAGCCGAGCAGGAAGAACATGAGCAGCATTGCGGCGTGCTGTGCTGGGGAGGAGAGGGGGGAGGGGGGTGAGGGGATTTGAGAGGAGGAGAGGGTGAGGGGCTCATGTTGTGAAAATGGTGCATGCATCATGAACGCGCGCTGCTGAATGGAAGCGCGACGAGCGACATACCTCGTTCTACCATACCTCAGAATTATTACGCTGGCCTGGCGCGACTCCGCCATTCTCAATGGCGCTGCGCAGTGGAAAAGCGACGGTACCTCGCCCTACCGTACCTCGAAGTTATTGAGGTGGCCGGGCGCGACTCCGCCATTTTCGATCGGATGGAACCCCGTTCCGACTCCTAGCTCAACTAAAGCCATATCTAGGAACGACCCCACTACTATAATGTACAGCTCGAGCCGCGCCCAGTGGCCCGGTAGCGGCGCGGGATGCCATAGTCGCGACACGAAGGCTTGCGGCGCCGCGAGGTAGTTCTTGATGCTGCATCGCAGGTGCCACAGCCCCACTAGCAGGAAAAGCGTCCCGGGGATTATGTGACCTGCGAAAGAGCCCATGGCTAGGGAATGCCGCGACAAGCGGGTTGCACAGGTAAAGTAATCTGTATTTTTGGCCGTCAACAACTTTCAGAGTTTATTCAGCCATAATCCACTGGGATGTGCGACAGAATCTGAATGCTGGGCTGGGCGGTCCGCGAAAACTGTTGCTGTGGGGGTACCTTTTCCACAATACAGGGTGTTCCGGTAAATATTTTGTATAAAACGCTTTGCACAGAATATATTAGGCCCAAATCGAGATGATTGCCTCCCAATGTGAGAGGGAGGAAACTGCATGTTTCTAACAAAAGCATAAGTAACTGCTGTTTGAAAAAACAGCACCAGTACCTGTGGAAAGTAGGCTGCACGAGCAAATCCGTTTGACTAACCCGGAGACATTCGAGCAAACAGCTCACAGAACCCAGATTTAAAAGCCCCATCAATCACCAACTGATCACCTTTCCACTGCAAGCAACCCAGTGCATAGGTGTACCGACCAACTCGACCTGTAAGTCCTGCACAAGCAAAATTCAGCATAGTCCAGCCCATTTGGCCTGCATCCCCCTCCTCCCCATCCTACCCCCCAACCCCCGCCCCACCATCCCTCTCCTCAGTACTAGCCATTGCTGTCCCACTAGTGGCCGCTGTCCCACTAGTGGCCTTCTCTCCCTCCAGTGATTTCTTAACCCTATCAGCACTCTTCCCCATGATCTCATCACCCCTCTTCCCTATCATCCCATCACCCTCCTCACCATCATCTCATCACCCCTCTTCCCCATAATCCCATCACACCTCTTCCCCATCATCACATCACATCTCTCTAGCCCGTTAGGCATGCATGGATCGCAGAGCCCTCTCCCTCAGCTCCTCCATGCTTCCCAAAACTGCCCCACTAGTGGTCACAAGTGACCACCTCCCCCTTCAGCGATTTGTTAACCTCTACTAGTCACCCCTCTCGCGCCCGTTTCGCCTGCATGGATCGCAGAGCCCTCTCCCTCAGCTCCTCCATGCTCCCCACAAATCCCCCTCCCCCTCTCTCTCTCCCCCCACCCTCTCCCTCCTCCCACTCCCTCTCCCTCTTACCTCTCCCTTCACCATCCCCCCTCTCACCACCGTTCACCCCTCCCTCCTGCTGTCTCTCCTCCTCATCCTCACTGCTGCCCCGATCCTCCCCTCCCATGCCCCGTCGTGCCTCCTTTGCGGCACGCTTCTCCTCTTTCCGCCGCCGCTTCTCCTCCTTCCTCCTCCTCTTCTCCTCCTTGCGTGCCTTCTTCTCCTCCTTCCTCCTCCGCTTCGCCTCACGCCTCTCCTCACTGTTCATCCCCTCATCCTCCTCCCACTCTTCGCTCAACGCCCTCCCCAGCCCCTCCCCGCTCACCTGCCCTCCCTTCCCGTCCCCTCGCGTGCCAGCCTCTCTTGTCGGGCGGCGGGGGGAGGGAGAAGCGGAGGAGGGAGGGGAAGCATCTTGGGGAGACGCAGATGGTTCTTGGGAAGAGAGAAAGCTACGAGACTTTCTCTGACTCCCCCCTGCCTCCTCCTCATCCTCTTCCCCCCTCTCTTCCTCCTCGCCCTGCTCCTGCTCCGCGGCCTTCAAATCCCTCCTATCCCGCCGATCCTCATACCTGTCGCCTGGTCTACGCACGTCACGTGCACCAGCCCCTGCACCAACAACAGGACCGGCACGAGAGCCCCCACCAGCACCAGCACCCCGCTCCTCCTCCCAATCTTCCCCTGGCTCATCCCTACCGCTAGGCCCCTTGCTGCCAAAACCCCTTGGCCCCTCTCGCATCTCCCCGCCTCTTTCGTCCTCGTACCCTGCTCTCCGCATCACCCTGCCTGTGCCCCTCTCCTCATCTCGCCTCTCACGCGCACGCCCCTCGAATCCGCCCCCCTCCCCCGTACGCGCGACATACCTGCCCCTCTCACCCTGCCTCCTCTCCCCATCCGAACCCCACCTGTCCTCCTCCTCATCCCCCTCCTCCTCAACCCCACCCCTGCCCCTTCGCCCTTCGCTCTCCCTCCTGCCACCAGACTTTTCGAAAGCACCCAGACGGCCATTCGGCTCTTCGCCCTCACTCTCGTCCGCATCAGGGGATGGAATGTCGCCATCCCTCCCACCCATGCCCCCATCCCTCCCCCCACCCCTACCCCCACCCCTCCCACCATCCCTCCCCCCACCCCTACCCCCACCCCTCCCCCCATCCCTGCCCGCACCTGCATCGAGCTTGGCACTTCTCCCCGCGTCAGCCCGGCCCCTTTCTCTCACCATCACCTGTTCTTCTCTCCCCTTATCCTCCACCAATCGACCCGCCCTACCCTTCCTACCCTCCTCTCCTTCCCCATCATCCTCCTCCTCCTCGTCGTAGTCCTCCTCCTCATCCCGCCGTCCTGCCCCTCCTATCCTAGCCTCCTTGCGCACACCACCCCGCACATCCTCCTGCTCATCCTCCTCCTCCTCCTCATCACCATATTCCTCCTTGCCGCCCCTATCCCTACCTGAAAACCCCCGTTTGAACGAAGTGCCCCTGTCTTTCCCACTCCCTCGTTCCTCCACCCGTCGCTCACCCCGTATCCTCTCTTCCCGCCCTCTCACGCCCCTCCCTCTCTCCTCCCAATCTCTCACCTCCCGCCCTCTCTCGCCGCGTCCTCTATCCATCCCGCCTTCCTCACGCCCGCGCATCGATCGGCCAGGAGGCGGAGGGTACCGCGCAAACGACTCCTCCTGGCGGGACGAACGGCGCGCGGGGGGTGAGCGGGACCCCCCCCCTCTGCGCCGATAGTCTCCTGGCGGCGACCGTCCGTCGCGCTGGTACCCGCGGCTTCTAGGCGGGGAGCGGTAGCGGCTGCTGCGGTAAGACAACGGCGGGGGGGAGCGGCGGTCGGAGCGGAACGCGGAGCGGCGGTGGCGGGGAGGGGACCGGGAGCGGCGCTCGGGGGAGAAAGAGCGGGAGCGATGGCGACGGCGGGCGGGGGAACGGTTTCGAGGGGGAGGAGGCAAGGGGGGTTGATCCTGCTCCGCTTTTCCCTCGTCACCACCTGCATCATCATCACCACCACCACCACCACCAGCAACCGCAGCGGCTCCTTCACCATCTGGCGTCCCATCCTCTGGCCCTTCACCTGTTCCTGCAACACCACCACCACCACCACCACCGCCAGGAGCAGCTGTAGCAGCAGCCGCTGCGGCGGCTGCCTCTTGCTCCTCTGCCAGCTTAGCAGCTTGCGCCGTGAACGCAGCAGCAGCGGCCGTGGCAGCGGCGACGGCAGCGTTGCCGACAGCAGTAGCGGCTGGGTCAGCCGGCGCTGGTACCGCGGCGGGCGCAGCAGCAGCGGGTGCAGCGGCAGGAGCAGGCGCAGGCGCAGCAGCAGTAGGGGGAGCGGGATGACCCAGGAGGGCAGCTGTGAGGCGCGCTGCTGCTTCTGCGGCCTTCCGTCGAGCAGCCTCCACGTCCACTCCCTGCGCACGGGTGGCGCACACACGCATAACGGGAGGTAACCGCAGAGAGAGGGAGGCATCAAAGGGAACTTGTTGGTCCTAGGCTGGAGAGAAGGCAAAATAGCATTTGTGCGCTCTCATGTGCTGTCGTGTGCTGTTGTGAGCTGTCGTGTGCTGTTGTGTTTCAAAAGGTATCTTAAACACTTTCAAGCGCGACTCACCGGGATGGAAGCAGCGGCAGAGCCAGGGCCCAGCAACGAGCCCTGCTGCTGCACCCCCTTCTTGCGCCCAATCTCCGACAAAATGCGCTGCTCCGCCTCCTGCAGAGGAGAATAACAACAGGACGCAAAAGCAAATCACATTAGATCAGATCAAATCGGATCAATGAACACAATCAAGAAGGGGATACTAAGCTCAAACGAGCCAGCCCGCGCGACGCACCTTTTTCTTCCTTGTCTCCTCCGCCTTTTCATCCAGGAACTTCTGCGGGATGCCGCTAACGTTGGCCTGCGCGCTGAGCAGCAGGCACCAGAGCTCGCGCATGAAGCGCGCCGTGTGGCGCTCCATGAAGCCCGTTAACTGAATCTGGACCTGCTTGCCGTCCACCTTCTGCGGCACGGGAGAGGAGGAAGGGTTTGTGGGACGCGGAGAGGAGAGGCAGAGAAAAGGAACAACGGCGACGGCTGTTCTGCAAGTGCTCCGAGCAAATGGTACGCAGGAGGCAAAGATAACAGAACGGTAACAGGAGGGTTACCAGGCGGAATTGACAAGGTTGGCATAAAGCCAGACCGCTAGCCATGGCTGGTTTCCCTGCAGCACCGAAGGTGGACGGCAAGCAGGGTTATCCTGCAGAGAAGATGTCCCTTGCATCCATGAGTCATCGATCACGGCGACCATTGCAACCCTGATGCCATGGCGGGTCTGGGCAGTGATCCGAGCCATGTAGATGCCGAAGCTGTCGACAAGATCACAACCGATCGGAATAAGCTCTTGAACCGAGACTAAACTAGGATTCTAAACAACCCCCTCGCCAAATAAAAAAATAAAAAAAATCCCAAGGGTAAAAGGTGAAACAACAGCATGACCCTTGTAACAAAATGCTATATTGCGATGCTCGTTAGAAATCTCCATACCTTGCCGTCGAGCAGACTGTAAATGAAATTGATGAGCACTTCATCCTCTACGCCCAGAAGCTCTGTCACCCTCTTGCCTATCCATGGCTGCATCACATCCTTCTTTACCTTGGTCATATCCACCTGCGAAAAAAAAACGGTTGGAAATAAGTCCATCAACGCTCGCTAAATGCGTAAAAAAAAGTGGTTAAAGAAGCGTGAACCCCGGCAACAAGAAACATCTAGTGCACTTGCCGGCTCATCAAGCTCCGGTGCGAACTTCTGCGATTTAAGCAGCTTCGCGTTCTTGTTGGAGAATCTGCTGTCCTGATCCGCACTGGTCCCTCGGAAGAAACCCCCCGACATGGCTGCGGTTTCGTCACTGGTAACCGCAACAATGAATCTGCTACCGGAAAAACCCGCGTCGGCTTTACGACAAAGCCTAAGAAAAAAAACAATATATCCCAAGAATGGTCGTGGGAAAGACCTTAGGAGTCGCACACCCCGGAATAATGGAAAGATATCTCGCAGGTCCACAAAAAAGGACCTCCTAACTGGGATATCTAAGATCACAGGTCCGTAGCCAAGCTCCTGCTAGCAGACCTGTAACAGCTCCTGCTACCAGATCCTGCAGCTACATAGCATCTGGAACAGCTAAATGGATGAGGTTGGCGACGGTCGCGAACGTCGCAAAGATGGCGAAGCAAATTGGCGATGAAAAGCTGGTGTGGGAGGCGGGCATGACACTTTCGATTCGACTCGCTACTTGGAATAGGTACCCGCTATATTGACCACTTCGAATGATATTATGGCTGAAAGTTACAAGCAAAAAATGGCAATGACTACATAATCAGCTCAATTGGAATGAAAAAAAACTAAAATGGTCTTACTCTGATGCTACCCTAGCTTGAGCATGTCCCACAGGATCATGAATCTCAACAGAGGCTAAGCTTTCCTTTGCGTCCAACCACGTCCATTTCTCCTCGGGCACACCCGTAACACAAAAATCCGAGCACAGACCCCCCCCTTCAACCTTACAAGTCGGCTTCGTCACGTTCCCACCCGCCCATTCCGCGGAAAGAACAGCCATGCCGCCTTTACAAACAGTCGGTGCGACAACAGCTTGCGGGGTTTCCATGGCTCTAGCGGCGTATTTGGCAAGGAGTACGGCCCAGTAGTGGACTCGGCTTTGCCACGTGCACACGTGAGAGGCGAGCTCGTTTGCGTTGAGCAGCATGGTGTGCACCGCATCGTCGTGCTGCCTCATCCACTCCACCGCTGCCACGAGATCCATGAAGCTGTAATGCTCAACACATGACAGCACACGAATAATGGGGGAGATGGGTAGGTGCAGGTGATGAGTTTTCTAGGTACAGATGCACAATGGAGGGAAAGAAGAAGCATGCACATATGTATTGGGGATGTACTGAACTCCAGGCAGCACTGACCTGTGTGTAACCGGGATGTAGTGTACTCCGGGCAGCATGAGCGGCTCGAAATACTGCATGAAGCCCGACTGGTGCCGAATGATGGCCTGCTGGCCACTCAGAGCGCGACACGTGTCACGAGAGCCCACCATCTCATCCACCACAACCACATACTTGAACGCGCTCTCCTTCACCCCCTCCTCCATCTCCTCCGCCAATACAAACCCGTTCCTGCGGGAAAGAGACCCACGAGAGGATGGGCGGGAGACGAGAAGGAGGAAGGGAGGGGGATGAGAAGGAGGAAGGGAGGGGGATGAGAAGGAGGAAGGGAGGGGGATGAGAAGGAGGAAGGGAGGGGGATGAGAAGGAGGAAGGGAGGGGGATGAGAAGGAGGAAGGGAGGGGGATGAGAAGGAGGAAGGGAGGGGGATGAGAAGGAGGAAGGGAGGGGGATATACTTGAACGCGCACTCCTTCATCCCCTCCTCCATCTCCTCCGCCAACACAAACCCGTGCCTGAGGTGGGGAAACAGAGCAGAGGGTTGGGGGGTGAACGGGTAGGGACACAAGGAAAGTGCACCATATGGCACTTCCCACATGGCACTTCCCACATGGCATGGCGCTTCCTCAAAACAGAAATCACACAGCACAAAGACATACCACCTGTGCACCGCACTGAACCACTCACTTCTTGAGCAAATCTTTAGGATCGGCCAGGTCTATCGGGCCGAAGCTGGAGATCCGTGCGTCCAGCAGGTCCGGGCGAGAGTCGGAGGTTCGGTGCAGGCGCAGGCGGAAGCTGGAGGCCCAGTTGTAGGGCTTCAGCTGGAACTCAAACCCGCTGCCCCGCCACACTGCCCTGCCCTCCTTCTGTGGGGTGGGGGAAGAGACAAAAGAAGAGCGCTCTCAAGCCTGCTCTTAAGGAAGCTGGAGGCCCAGTTGTACGGCTTCAGCTGGAACTCAAACCCGCTGCCCCGCCACACCGCCCTGCCTTCTTTCTGCAGCATGTGGTGGGGAGGCAGCACGTGACAGACAGGTGCACAGAGGTCCAAGGAACGGATGAGAGGGGGTGGGAGGGAGGCAGAGAGGGGGGCTTTCTATAGAAGCTGGAGGCCCAGTTGTACGGCTTCAGCTGCAACTCAAACCCGCTGCCCCGCCACACCGCCCTGCCCTCCTTCTGTTACAGGTACACAGAGAGATGAGGGGAACATGGAGGGGAACATGGAGGGGAACATGGAAGGGGCGCTTCTAGGGAACCTTTGCCCACCAGGGCATGTGCTCAGCGTGCAGTGGAGGGGAGAAACGGAGGTTGAGGAATTGGGGAAGAGAATGTCTGTGGAGCCTGGAGTCCACTGCGTGCTGACTTGCTAGCCTGAGAGACACAAGCCTGACTGACCTAAAAGGCTTTCCAATCAGCACAAGGGATGCAAACGACTGACCTTGGCCCAGGGAATATGTTCTGTGTGTTGTGGAGGGGAATAGTCGAGGTCGAGGGAGTCGGGAAAGAGGATGTTGGTGGAGCCGGGGGTCCACTGTGTGCTGAACTCACTGTCTAGCCTGAAGGACACATGACCCAATAGCCTTGACGAGCAGCGCAAGGGACGCCAGAAGAGACGCACCTTGGCCCAGGGCACGTGCTCAGCGTGCTGTGGAGGGGAATAGTCGAGGTCGAGGGGGTCGGGGAATAGGATGTCTGTGGAGCCGGGGGTCCACTGTGTGCTGAAGACGGGGAAGCCGGAGCAGCCGGAGGAGAGCGAGTTGTCGAAACTGACGGGCTTGTCACACGCGTTTATGAATAGCTCCGCTCTCAGTGCTGGTGGGAGGTGGGGGAGGGGAGAAGGGGAGGGAAAAGGGGAGGGGAAGGAGACATCAAGAGGAGATTGACGGCAGGTCCAGTGCGCCTATGATACCAGTGCTGAGAGGCCAAATTGGAGCTCAGCCGGAGGAGAGGGAGTTGTCGAAGCTGAAAGGGGAATTGGCAGAATGGGAGGAGGGGGAAGGAGGCATTGAGGGGAGATTGATGGCAGGCCGAGCACGCCTATGGGAGCAGTGCGGAGCGGGAAAGTTGGAGCCACTTTTGAGAATTCTCAAAAGTGGCTCAGCTGGAAGAGAGGGAGTTGTCAAAGCTACTGGGCCTGGCACACGCATTTATGAAGAGCTCTGCTCGTAGTGCTGTTAGGAGGGGGAAGAGGAAGGCTTTGGGGGCTTTCGTTATGAGAATGGGTTTACGAATGGTAGGCCAGCACAGTAGCCCGGTTCGGATTGAGGTTGTATGACACACAAAAAAACGCCAAGAAATAGACGTACATCTGAGGTCGTATGCAGTGATAACGCACATCTTACTTTTGAGAGATTTCAGAGGTGAGAATTCTCAGAAGGAACATCATCTTAGGTTCCACCCCACTGATTTCAGGCCATAACCAAAAATCCCTACAGACAGAGACGTACATCGGAGGTCGTATGCAGTGATGGCGTGCAGAATCATCTTCACTGCCAGGTTGACGCGCTTGAGGCGCCTTAAAAGCCCTCTGAGGTTCTATCCCACTGGCTTCAGACCATAGCAAGAGACCATTTAACAACAGGGGGCCGAATGGACAGAGACGTACACCGGAGGTCGTAGGCAGTGATGGCATGGAGGATCATTTTGACTGCCAGGTTGACTTTGAGTCGACTCCAATAGTGTGTTTTGAGTCGGCTCAAAGCACACCTGGATACGTTGTCAAAAGAAGACATACATCGAAGGTCGTAGGCAGTGATGGCGTGGAGGATCATTTTGACTGCCAGGTTGATGCGCTTGAGCTTGCGTGTATCTTCCAGGAAGGATCCGTAGCGGAAGTACACATGACCTAGCACTACGCGCACATGCGCCAGGCATGGCTGCATCTGCAGATGGGGGGGGGGGGGGAAGAAAGGGTGATGGGGGGGAAATGAATGGGACTTGGTGGGGTACGACGGGGAATGGGGAGCAGTGCAGTGAGGACGAAGCAGTGGAGTGGAGGGAGATAGAGACGGATGCAGTGGGGTGAGGGAGGAACGCAGTGGAGTGGGGGGGGAGGGGGTGGGGGGGAGTACCTTGGGATTGACGGCCATGGCAGGGAACATGATCTGTTTCACCATGCCCGCCTTCCCCAACCCCTTGCTGATGCCCTGCTTGTTCGCACGCACACAGGGACACAGGCACACAAGGGAAGGGGCGCAGAGGCAGAGGGGCAAAGAGTATGAGAGCACACACATACGGTGGCAAGAGAGATCCCTCCATAACCACTTATCCCCCTAATCCCCCATCACCTCTCTCACCCCTTCTTCCACCAACCCCACTCACATCGATCCATATACCCCCCCACCCCTTCCCCCACCCCTGCTCACTCACATCGATGCGCACCCACGAAGCCAGGAACCTCTCAGCCAGCCGTGCAAACGCCAGCGTGAGCCGATTCCCCGTGCTGAGCGTGCCCGCCGTCAGCAACCCCTCCACTACGTGCCCCCACGGCGCCTTGCCGTCGTCCTCCCCTTCCTCCGCCGCCACCACCTTCCCCATCGCCTGGTACCGCGCAGGCGAGTAAAACTCCGCCTCCCCCACCCGCCCCCCGTCCGCGTCCGACGCAAACGCATGCCGCCGATCCCACGAGGAGGACGACGACGAGGAGGAGGAGGAGGATGAGCGAGAGACCAGGTCGAGGAGAGCGTGGGGGTCGTGCGAGGAATGGTTCACCCATGGGCCTTCCAGCGCGCCTCGCGCGTTCAGCTGGATGGGGAACTCGCACCCGCCCCGCTCCACCAGCATTGCCGCCAGCTGCGCCGAGGGGAACCAGGTGCGCCTGCAGGAAGGTGGATGTGGGGGGTGTGGAGGTGGGGAAAGCGGGCGGATATGGGGGGAGGTGGATGTGGAAGGTGGCGGAACGGGTTTGGATGTGGTGGGAAGATGGACGGTAGGTGGGGAAAGCGAAGGACGAACCACATCCACTCATATCCATGGGGAGAGCGGCGAGGTGCGGCGAGGGAGCCAGGTTCTCCTGGGGGTGGTTTGACATGTGGATGGATCATGGATCTACGGAGGAGCAGATATGCTGAGTTAGCCATCGGTTGTTAGAGCAGGGAGACGACTGCGACGACGGCGACGACTGCGACGACGGCGGCGACGGCGACGAGGGACGAGCGACAAGCGGTACCTGGTGGAGGCGACGACGGCGACGAGAGCGATGGACATGAGAGTTCGACCGCGAAGCGACGCGAACCAGTCGCCTCCCGCCTTCCCCGCCGGAAAATGCGGCGGCCGACGCGGGCCCCCCCGGGGCCCTCTGGTCATCATTGTGATTGGTTGTCGGATGGCAGTCGGACTACCGTCGGATTGCAATCAAATGACGACGGGATGACCGTCGGATGGCAAACGATGGATCTTCAGGGGTTCGCGATCGGGAATCAAATCGGGAGAAGCATGAAAGGCGAGCGGTGATACTCGCCGATTTTCGATCGCAAGTGACTCGAGCGGAACGGTAAACGGTAGAGTGAGAGGATCGCCTCAGCGTCTCGCCTTGGGATCTCACTCGCCCAATGAACAGTGCGTGACTCCTGGAAGGTGCTTCTGAATGATTCTCCTAAACGGTTCTCCTCAATAGTGCTTTCAAGTTGCAATATTCTCAGTCCTGATTGCGACGCCTCAGTCCTCCATGCGACGCACTGCGAGCACTTGCAGCTCCCAAGGACATCTTAAAGACATCACAAGGAGAAGCCATCGCTGGCGAACTCAGATTTATTTTTGCACTTACACATACTGACTAATTACTGCTTGGGTTCTCCACAGAAGATAATTCGGAGTTCCCTGTGCCATCTTCCCATGCTCTCTGCTGCCTGCAATTCCCGAGGTTGGTGGTGGTCAGGGAGGGAGTTTCTGAGTTCCCTTCAATTGTAGGTCACGGAGGGATCTCACCTGCAGCTGCCGCCAGGGAGACTCGGATTGAAATTCCCGCTAACAAACCATCGCTAACGGCAACACACAAGAATGGAACACGATTTAGTAATGGCATATTCCATAATTGCTCATATCAGTCTTATTATGATTTTATGGTAACTAGCAAACCAGGTCATTTACAGTCATAAATCCTGTATCCTGATGCCAGTGGGGAACCCATAATTTCCCACCCACTTCGCGATCTCCAGGTTAGTGCCCTTTCTGTCCGGTATCCAGGAAGTCTTCTAGAGCCCCTCATTCTTGCCTTCACACGATAACTTATTTCCTTCACCAGAGATACCACCTTTGTAAAAAAAATCAACCTTGAGTGGCTGCGATAGCCTCCCTAACTACCATGTCCAGCACTCTCTTATTGTGCTCCTTGAACCACTCACCAACATTCGCCTTTATCTTGACACGGGTGCGTTCATTTGCCTGCTTTTGCCATGTGATGCCCACAGTTGTCTTGAGTTCAGACACCCGCTCGTTAAGTCTATGTGCCTTATCCTCCGCACTCCCATCCTCCTTGCCATTCAGAAGCTGCTGTGACTTGAGCTCCCTCTTGGTCTCCACCTGCAATACACAACATACACATTCAGAGTAAATACCATAAAACCACATGCAAACAACCACTAATACTCATGCAACTCCAATCCAGTTTCTGCAAAAGTTCCCAACGTCCTTGAGGCAGCACAGTATCAGGCACGCAGCTGGAAGCAGTCTCCAACGGGCACATAGTGCAGAGCAATCGACTCCTCCAGCATTGCCCACAAGCACATACTATGGAGAAATTGAAAAACATCATCCTTGGAAAACATTGTTAAAATAATAATAATAATAATAATAATAGAAAGAAACAAAAAAAAACTCCTCCCAGGCAAGCACCTGGAAGTAGTCCCCAAAGGGCACTTGGTGCAGAGTGATTGACTCCTCCAGCATCGCCCACGTGCACATGCCAGGTGTCGCGTCCTTAGTGGCCTGCTGCACGCCCGACACGGTGGTCCCAAACGGCGACATCTGGCGGGAGAACTTGAACTTGATGTTGCGCTGCCGCCGGGCGGCTCCGGGCGGCGCGCCGTCCACTGCCACCCAATCAGAGACCTCCAGGTGGGTCTGGCCTGTGGCGTCTGCTACCTTGCGCTGCAGCTGCTGTTGCTCTGTCATCGCCAGGAACTGGTCCACCTGTTAGTGCGGGCATGAGTGAGGGTGCGAGTGTGGGGGTGAGTGGGTGCGAGTGTGGTTGCGTGTGTGGGCACAAACGGGTGTGAGTGTTGGGCTCGTTCAAGTAATGTCTGCAGCTGCAGCTGCTGCTGCTGTCATTGCCAGGAACTGGTCCACCTGCGAGTGGGGGCATGAGCGGGGATGCGAGTGTGGGTTTGAGTGGGAGTGTGGGTGTGAGCGTGGGCATGTGTCAGTGCGAGTGTGGGTGTGAGTGAATGGGAGTGAGGGTGCGAGTGCAGATATTAGATGCTGAAATCACATGCACGGACTCAGACATCAAACGCAGATACCAAAAACACGCCCTTCCATGCACCGTCATGGGCACGGCAGTGCAGACGCAGTCGATCATCTCACACACGTCTGTGCACACTGTCTCTCACCTGCACGCATTTTGAGGTGCCTAACAAAGTAATAATCTCACACATGTCCATGCACTCTGCCTTCTCACCTGCACGCCCTGTTGCCCATTTTCTCCCTTCCCGTTTTCCTCACACGCGTACACACTCTCCCACCCGCCCGTATCCCACGCACCGTCATAGGCACAGCAGTGCTGATGCAGTCAATCATTTCATACACGTCCGTGCAAACCCCCACCTGCTCCTCCACCCCCTCGCCGTCACTCCCCACTGCCCCACCAACACCGCTAGCAACACCACCCCCTCCTGCTGCCCCTCCTTTCCCTGCTGCTGCTGCTGCTCCGCCCACACCCACACCCCCTCCACTACCGACCCCAAAGCCTTGGGAAGCGCTTCGCACCATCCCTTCCCCTTCCCCTGCCCCGGCCCCGGCCCCTGTCCCTGCCCCGGCCCCTGCCCCTGCCCCTGCCCCCGCTCCCCCTGCTCCTGCCGCTGCCCCTGCCCCTCCAGCCTCTGCAGCAGCGGCAGCGCTGGCGGCCTCCTTGGCTCGCTCCAGCTGCTGCTCGGGGGGGAGTGCTCTGTGGCGCCACAGGGCTGTGATCAGGCTGAGCGTAGAGGGGGGGTAGGGAGGACAGAGAGAGGGGGTCAACACAGACTGTTATCGCAATGGTGGGACCAAGATGGCAATGCAGAAGGGAACACTCACCGGAAGGCAATGGTGGGGCGAGCGAAGGACTGAAACCGGATCTTAAGCCGACCGGAAGGGTCAATTCCATACGCAGCGCTGCGCGTGTCGGGGCCGCCGCGGCCCGGCTTGACGTAGATGGTGATGGAGGGGTTGAGGAGGCGGTTGATGGAGTGGATGGAGGGCGCGTTCTCCTTCAGCTCGTCGATGTCCTCCCATCGCACCGCTAGCTTTATGCGCACTCGGAAGAGGGACGCATGAAAGGCTAGCAGGCGCGGGGAGAGGAAGAGGCGACCCTGTGAGGGGGGGAGGGAGGGGAGGGGAGGGAGGTTGGGGAGAGGAGAGAAGGGGAGTGTGGGAGAGAGGGGGTAACGGTTTGGCAGTATGAGCGTAGCAAGTCCATGGGTTGATGGAGTGGATGGAGGGCGCGTTCTCCTTGAGCTCGTCTATGTCCTCCCATCGCACTGCTAGCTTTATGCGCACTCGGAAGAGGGATGCATGGAAGGCTAGCAGGCGGGGCGACAGGAACAGCCGGCCCTGTGAGGAGGGGAGGGGAGGAAGAGGAAGGGGTGAAGGTTGCGGAGATCAGGGAATACGGTAGAGGAGGGGTGAGAGCTAGACCGTTGATGCTCTAAATGGGATCAAAACTGGGAGCACGAACTCAGAACCTACTTGGATCTGTGTTTTGAGACTTCTCAAAAAACAGTGTCAGGCCCCACCTGGGAGAGGAGGTTCTTCTTGAGCGCTCCCAGCCTCTCACCTGCAATCCCAGCCTCTCACCTGCAATCCCAGCCTCTCACCTGCAATCCCAGCCTCTCACCTCCAATCCCAGCCTCTCACCTGCAATCCTAGCCTCTCACCTGCAATCCCAGCCTCTCACCTGCAATCCCAGCCTCTCACCTGCAATCCCAGCCTCTCACCTGCAATCCCAGCCTCTCACCTGCAATCCCAGCCTCTCACCTGCAATCCCAGGCCCCACCTGCGAGAGGAGGTTCTTCTTGAGCGCGCAGGAGAAGTCGTTGATAAGCGGCTCGTTGTCGGGCAGGTCAAATAAGTTATGGAAGGCTGTGTTCTTCTCATCCGAGATACGAAGGAGCTGGTTGGACGGGGGAGGCGAGGATGGAGAGGATGGAGAGGATGGAGAGAAAGGGAAGTTACTGAGCACAGCACACAAGGAAAGAGGAGAGTTCTTATTGGAGGGAAGGGAAGGCTTGAGCTGCAATGGTAAGATGGAAAGAAGAGAGGGGCCAGCACCTGTAGCTCCGAATCACGACCAGCGAACATGTCCATTCCCCACCCCCTCCCCCCACTCCCCCCCTTCCCTCCCCTTCCCCTTTTTCTTTCAGCCCACCCCTTTGCTTGAACCCACCTCCTTGCCGACTTGCTTGCTGATCCGCTCGATAATCATTGGTGGAGAAGCCTCACTCGTACTCGTTAGCAGCACCCTCAGCTGCAGCCTCGCCTCCACCCCCTGCCCCGGCCCCTGCCCCGGCGCCTTACCCCCCTTGCGCGCCTCCGTCCGCGGCCCTCCCTGCAGCGGCACCCAGAGGTCTGAGAGCTCCTGGGCGCTGGATCTCACGAGGTCAACCTCTGCCTGGCCCAGCGCTGTGGGCGCTGAGAAGGGACCATCGTAGTCAAAGATCTCCACATCTAATGTTGATGGGGGGTCTTCGTACGCATCGAAGGAAAGAACCTCTGGAGGATGGGGCGAGGGGAGGGGGAATGGGGAGGGGAGGGGGGAAAATGAGGGGAGGGGAACGGGAAGAGGAGAGGGGAGGGAGTTGGCGTGTGAAACAAGGGGCTGCTGCCCTCCCTGCAGCGGCACCCAGAGGTTTGAGAGCTCCTGGGCGCTGCACCTCACGAGGTCAACCTCTGCCTGGCCCAGCACTGTGGGCGCTGAGAAGGGCCCATCGTAATCAAATATTTCCACATCCAGTGTTGAGGGCGGGTCTTCAAGGGCATCAAAAGAGAGGGCCTCTCAGGGATGGGGAAAGAGGATGGGCGAGGGACAGGGGATGGGGAGGAAAGGGGAACGGGGAGAGGACGGGAGGGATTTTGGGTGGGCGAAGGGGCTGCTGCCCTCCCTGCAGCGGCACCCAGAGGTCTGAGAGCTCCTGGGCGCTGGATCTCACGAGGTCAACCTCTGCCTGGCCGAGTGCTGTTGGCGCTGAGAAGGGGCCGTCGTAGTCAAAGATCTCCACGTCTAGCGTTGATGGGGGGTCCACCTCTGCCTGGTCCTCGCACGCGTCAAAGGTCAGCACCTATGGTGGGTGGGGTTCGGAAATGGGAAGAGAGTGGGGGTGGGGGAAGGGGCTGTTGGGGTTAAAGGACTGCACCCACGCACATGAACACACAGACACATTCACACTCACCATTCCACACCGGGCGGTTGGTCTGCAGCTTCACGGAGCTGGTGCGTGTCTTGCCATTGCACGTGAACACCATGTACGGGTCAATCTTGCCGCCCACACACACCCACACACGCTTACACATGTTCATTCGCATTTTCTTACTCACCATTCCACACTGGGCGGTTGGTCTGGAGCTTGACAGAGCTTGTGCGTGTCTTGCCATTGCACGTGAACACCACGTACGGGTCGCTCTTGCCGCCTAGCCCCCCCACCTCCCCCACGCCCTCCCCTTGCACCAGCGTCACTGTCAGCAGCCACCCCTCTCCCTCCGCCTTCTTCCCATGGTCGCCCCCTGAAAGACAACGACAGGTGTGGGGAAGAGTCAGAAACTAAATCCTCAACCTCTGAGGGTTGCTCTTGCCTCACACCTCGCTGTACCTCTCAGCACCTCGCAGCACCTCTCAGCAATTGTTTTTGTGTTTGGCACTAAGCACATCCGCAGCAGTGCCAGAGAAGCCCCACCTCACCAACACACCTGGTAGGTCCAGCAGCAGCAGCACCCACACCCCTGACATGCCCCTTTCTCCCCACGCACTTATGCACACACTTACGCACACGCACACACGCGCACACTCACTTCTCAAGAGCCGCGAGGTGATAATATTCCTCAATCGGAAAAGCACCCTCTCGGCGCTGAGAACAATGACAGCCGTGCAGAGCAGCTCCATCACCCCATCAGGAAGGTCCAGCAGCAAAAGCTTGCATCCCTGGCAGGCCGCCCTACCCTACCCCCTTCTCCCTCTTTTCCCACTCCCCATTTCCCCAGTTCCTTCCCTCATTACTCACTTCTTAGAAGCCGCGAAGTGATGATATTCCTTAGACGAAACAGAGCCCTCTCAGAGCTAAGAATAATGACAGCCGTGCACAGCAGCTCCATCACCCCATCAGGCAAGTCCAGCAGCAAAAACTGCACGCCTGGCAGGCCCTTGGCACGCTGTATGAAGTGCATGGGGAGCACTATAAGGGAGACAAAGAAGAGCAGCATGGAAAAGTGCCCCAGTATGTTGAACAGCCGAGCCATCAGCGGCTGCTTCGGCGGAGGCTCGGGGAGGAGGGCAGATGCGGAGGAGAAACCGAGAGGGGTTGTGGCAGGTGCAGCGTATTTGGACAGGATCTGCGGGACAGGAACAGTGGAAAAGAGGAAGGAGGGAGGGACGGGGAACGGTTGGTGTGACTCAAGGAATCAACTGTGCTACCACCTGATATGCAGCAGCTATGGCACAGAAACGTATGGTCAGTCAGCAACGTGCCAGCCAGCACTGTGTCAGCAGTGTGCCAGCCAGCACTTAGAGCCCGCGGCCCCAATTGCGGATCGCGCTGGTCAGGATTATTAATGTTGCAGGTTGAGGTGCTGAAACTTGACCAGCAAAGGTTGAACAACACTCGCGCACAACACATCCCCTCGACTTTTTCTGTCCCCCCCCCCCACAGCCCAGCGCTCAACCTTACTAAGGTTGAACAATTTGGGCTGTGGGCTTTAAGAGAACGAGTGGCTGGAATGGAAGGCATACGCATGTTTCTCACCGCCTGGTAAGCGACGTAAGTGTCTTTGAGTCCGGAGCGCATGCCGTTCTCGATCATGCTCTTCATCATCGTCCTCTGCAGGTCAACAACATGTGTGCGGTACAGCCTAATAACCGGAACATTAATGTGTCTCTCACCGTCTGGTAAGCAACGTAGGTGTCCTTGAGGCCCGAGCGCATGCCGTGCCGTTCTCAATCATGCCCTTCATCATGGTGCTGTGCAGGAAGACTGTGCACATGTGTTACTGCCTGGTGACCAGAGCACATGTGTTACTGCCTGGTGACCAGAGCACATGTGTTACTGCCTGGTTACCAGAGCACATGTGTTACTGCCTGGTTACCAGAGCACATGTGTTACTGCCTGCTTACCAGAGCACATGTGTTACTGCCTGGTTACCAGAGCACATGTGTTACTGCCTGCTTACCAGAGCACATGTGTTACTGCCTGCTTACCAGAGCACATGTGTTACTGCCTGCTTACCAGAGCACATGTCTCTCCTTACCGCCTGGTAAGCAATGTAAGTGTCCTTGAGGCCCGATCGCATGCCGTTCTCAATCATGCCCTTCATCATGGTGCTGTGCAGGAAGCACGGCGCCCACGACACGCGCAGCTGGCAGCTGCTGCCGTCTGTGATCATGGACGACAGGGACAAGGGGTGTGGGGAGCGGGCGCAAGGAGATGAAGAAGGGGGGGGGGGGGAGCAGCTTTGATCATGCTGCTACAAAGATTGCTTGCACTGCAGGACGAGAAAGGGCACGAGAGCTCACAACACCTGCAGCTGCTGCCACCTGCGGCCAAGAGAGATGGCAGAATTGAAAAATGCTCAAGAGGGGGGGAGGGGGGAGAGGCAGAAGAGCGACACAAAAAATGGGCATTTTGAGGCATCCGCCAGTCATCAGCCCAAAAAATCAGCCCAGCCCGACCTGAACCACTCCACCCAATGAGTGTGTACCATCTGCACTATCTGACGGTGCAGGCAGGCACCACCTCAGCCACCCCAAATGGTGTGGGAGTGATGCAGAACTGCATTTGACATGAAGCAGGTGTGACCTGAACCACACCACCAGGTGCATGTGCTACCCAAGCCACCGCACCTGGTGTGTGGTGCTCAAGCCATCAAAGCACCCCACATGGAGCAGGCTTGATGCCTCACCTGGTCCCGGTGTGATGCAGAACTGCATTTTCGTGCGGAACGTGTTGCCATACGGCACGTCAGGCGTGGGGGAGTGGAGGGAGGGCAAGAGAGAGGTGGTACCTGGTGACGGTGTGATGCAGAACTGCATCTCGGTGCGGAACGTGTTGCCATACGGCACGTCAGGCGTCGCCACATACACCTCCACCAGATACCCCCCCGCGTCCGCCCTGCTGTAACGCATCAGCTCTGTAGCGAGTACAGACTTGACCAGGGAGGAGGGCGCGGTCATGTAGCGGACCACTCGCGAGCTGATGGGAGGAGAGGCGGGCACGTTGGCGGTTGTGATGGTGGCAGGGAGGGAGTCTGCTAGTGAGGGGATTGCAGCAGCGTCTCCCTCAATCCATGGTCCTGTTTCGAGCTGAGACACCTTGCGCTCTACAGGTAGAAAGGATGAGAACAGGGAAGGGGAGACAGCAGGGTGGTGTTTCGGCTTGGTTAGCAAGGATGAAAGGCAAAAGACACGGAACTTTGTTCATGCTGTGCTTGGGTTAAGCTGACTGAGCGGCAACAGCCTCCTCCCCCCACCAGCACTGTATGAGTCAAGTTGGAAGGGAGTGGTATGGGGGAGTATGTGATAGGACAATGGCAGTGTCGACTCAGCGCACGCTCTCTCTACTCACATCCTTTTCACAGGCATTCCTTCCGAAACATAACACCACATCGCACCACACTGCACCACACCACTCCACACCACTCCACACCACACCACGTCGCACCACACCATACCACATTGCACCGCATCTCACCGGCAGTGAACTCAGCATAGAAGTCAGAGTCAGGCTTGAAAAGAATACCGTTGAGCTCATGGGCAGGCACGCCATATCACTGTTCCACCACCACCCCTCCTCCAACATGACTTCTAAGTCTAACTCAAAAGTCACACCACTCCACACCACATCACACCGCACTGGACCGCACCAAACCACACTGCACCACATCTCACCGGCTGTGAACTCAGCATAGAAGTCGGAGTCAGGCTTAAACAGTATCCCGTTCAGCTCATGGGCCGGCACGCCATACCACTGCTCCACCAGCACCCCTCCCCCCAGCGCAGCCGGCATATCCCCCTTAGAAGCCACCCCTTTAAGATCCCCGTCAAACCACGACAGTGGCACCAAACTCTCCCCTCCGCCTAACCCCCCCACCACCCCCGCCCCTTCCCCCTTCTCCCCTCCATCGTCCCCTGAAGACGCTCCCGAACCCCCGCTCCCCGCCCCACCCCCCGTTACACTCCCGGATTTCGGCAAGGGAGATGCTACTCCGCCCTCCACGCTCTTACTGGCCTTCACAGCGGCGTTTTCAGAGGAGGAGGAGCGGCGGCGGGGCAGGAAGGACGACACAGAGCGCTGCTTCGGCAGGCCGTGCACCGGGGGCTGCTGCTGCTGTTCCGAGGCTCTGCGGGAGGCCTTAGAGGAGGAGGTGAATCCAGACAACCGCTGCCTCAGCCCCACGGACTTAGCCCCTGGAAAGACCTCCGTGTTTGTGTCGGTGTTTGCTGGGTCTTTAGAGGAGTGGTGGTGTGGAGGGGGGGTGTTGATGGTGGCGGCGTGAGGGAGGAGAGCCGCGGTGGGGGCGCTATGAGGTATGGGAGAGGGGGATTCGTCAGAGGATTCGGATATGGTGCTGACGTGGCCGTGAGTGGAAGTTTTGGATTTGGAGCGGGTGAAGGAGTGAAAGAAGTGGGATTTGGAGGGGCGGGCAGGGGCAGAGGTGGAGTGGTGGATGGCGTGGGATTCAGCGACGGATTTTAGGTGCAAGTCGGCAGAATGAGCTACGATTGCCATGTCAGTAGGTGATGCAAGGTCGGCGAGGGCTGCTGCATCGCTCCCGCCTGAGGCATGAGTAGGAGGAGCGGATGAGGAGGTCCCACCATTCAGTAGAGGAGGAGGTGCAGTGGCGTCAGCTTCAGCAGAGGAAGAACTCGTTGCAGGAGGCAGCGGGAGAGACGGTGCACCAGCAGGAGGCAGCAGGAAAGTCGGTGCACCAGCAGGAGGCAGAGAGCCAGAAGCAGCAGGCGGCACCCCAGTCAGCATCAGAGTCCCAGAGTGGAAGGTCAGGGAGGCAGAAGCAGCGGAGGAGCAGGTGGAGGAGAGGGGCCCTGACAGCCAGAGTGACAGCGAGCCCAAGCCGCCAGGCGCAGACGCTGTCGAGTCAGCAGAGGAGGTTGGGGAATGTGGCTCGGATGGGATTGTACTAAGGCCCATCTGGTCCGGATGCAGGAGTTGGAAATTCGCTGGTGGGTTGTAAGTCTGGTCGGTTGGGTTGGGTTGGTAGGTGCCGGGGGTGGAAGCGAGGGAGGGTGGTGTGGAGGAGGAGGAGGAGGAGGAGGAGGAGGTGAGGAGCGGGAGAGTGGGGGTGTGCGAGGTGGAGGGAGGGGTGATGGAGAAGGGAGTGGAGGAGTAAGGGGAGAGGGCGGTTGAGCTGACAGGGCTGGAGGTTTGGGATTGAGCCGCGTGGGACACGAGGCCCCAAAGTGAGACCTCTATAAGGATTTCGCCTGCGGAATGAAGTAGCAATGGCGGTGGGGAGAAGGGGAGGCGTGGCAATAGCGTTGAAAAAGTGCACCGCACTTTGTAAGGAGTCCATGGTTGAGCCACGCCCGTGATAAAGGCGTGGAATGCGGTGATGAGGGCGTGAAATGCGGTGATTAAGGCGTAAAATGAGGTGATCAAAAGAATGAAATGTCATGCCAAAGGCGTCAAATGGGCGTGCATTGCCGTAATAAAAGCGTGAAATGCCATGAGAACAGCGTGAAATATCGTAATAAACGCGCAAGTCGCGACGAAAGCGTGAAACGCGTCTGCTCCAAGCTGGCTGACTCCACGCCATGACCGAGGAGAGACAATCTCAACCGCTCACGAAATCTCGCAAGAAAGGTATTTTCATCATTCTCAAAGCAACCTTCAGAATATGCCACCCACCTAATCCCGCAAACACGGCCTTGCGGAATGAATAATCTCTTCCGGACGACATCCATAAGAAAGTTTGACTCCAGATTTCTTGGTTTCGGGACATCTCTCGACATGAATAGCAGCTGCTCCTAGTTTCTGACCTGAGACGAAGGAGCGAGATCGCTCGCTTCTCTTCTTAAGCGGATACCACGTCGGCGAAAGGCTCTTCCCTTCCGCAGCCGCCACCGCAGCAACCGGCACCGACATTTGACCCAGAAAATCCGCTTTTCCTAAGTAATCCTCGTCCCAAACGGTCACAAGGAGAACATCCGTTTCAAGGTTATCCGTTCTAAATAGAAACTCCTCATTCCACGTCGGATTGAGGTTCTTATACACTGTGCTGCTGCGCGCTTTGCTTCGGCCGACCTGCATACGCACGTACGGATCGCTCAGACCGTTGCTGTCCTTAGCTGCCAGGTTCCGAGCCTGAAGCAGCTGGACCTGCAGCTTCGCCCCCATCGTGGAAAGCAGATTTGATAATTCACTGTACTCGTAAGCTATTCAAAAGTGCATTGGAAAGTCCGCGGAGGGAAACTGAGCATTCCAGTTTCACGTGACGCCTCAGTGGACGAGATGACGTTAGTAGATGTTCCCTAGATCCTCTGGGAATGGCATTCCGACAAAAAAGGAACGTACATGACCTTGGGAATGCTAACCTGGAGAATGCTAACCAGGCACAAGGACCTTGGGAATGTATTCTAGGTTTTCGGGTTGTCGTCGCAATCAAGCAGACCACCCAGAGCAGCGAGAGGGGTTGCTGTACGATAACGAAGTGTATAATCTAGGGTGGCAAAGCGAGGGAGTGAGGTTGAGAGGGATGCGCTGCGACATTCCCGAAGCTGAGAGCTACCTAGGAATCGACGGTGACGATTGGACGGACTAGATTTCGTGTGGTGCTAAGTGAGTTTGGTTTCCTGTGAAATCCTCGAAGCAGAAAGCGGCATGGTGTCATAAACCAGGGCTGAAGCAGCCGCCATCTGCTCTGATTGGTTGACGGGGGCTTCCGCGATGCAGGTTGCACTTCTAAATTTCGTGTGCCCCTTACAGCTCAGGTACTTGACTAGTTTCGCGTATGGATACACTAGCTCGCCCATCCAGCAAGAGCAACAAGTCTAAATGGAAACAATACCCGTATTGTGCTCAATTCTACAAGCCTATTGTTAAAAGTGTGCTCGAAGTACCGGAAGAGCACTGTAGCTAGAGTGCTTAATTCTACTTACCCATAGTTTATGGGCTAGATTGTGCGAGCCATTTAGATAGTGTAGTGTGCCCAATTATTACAAGCCCTATGATTAGTCTGCTCAATTCTACAAGCCATGCTTTTATTGTGCTCCTGTATCTATTGTGTTTGATTCTGCAAGTCCTGTAGTTGGTTGCTCTATTCTACAAGCCCTGTATTTAGTGTGCTCGAATCTACATACCTGTAATTAGTGTGCTCGATTCTGCAAACCTTGTATGTACCGTAGTTACTGTGCTTGATTCTACAAACCATGTTGTTAGTGTGCTCGATTCTACAAGCCCTGTACTTAGTGTGCTCGGTTCTACAAGCCCTGATGTTAGTGTGTCCTCAAAGTACAGCCTGCAACTAGTGTGCTCGATTCTATGAACCCTGAATTTATGGCCTCGAGTGCATCACGATCAAGGCCCAAAATATCGGGGTAAAATGCCCTGATTACCCTGGGGGCGGGCCGCTTTTCAGAGTTACCCTTTCTAAATCAAGCTTCGTAGATTCTTACCCTTACCCAAAAAGTTTTGGTGTTTTTTTCCCCTGATTGGATTTTTAGTTAGCCTGACGGAATCAGGGTTGTGTGACGACTACCCAGTTACCGGAACTATTTTAAACGCGGATCTGCCCATTCTCCGCGTGGTGCCAAAATGTCCCACTCTCACACTGGCACCGTTGTCGCTGGTGACCACAGGAGGGAAACCGTGAAATGTTGCCGGCGACTCGCCATATGGCCTTATTGGCTGTCTTACCCACAGGACTGCCAACGCACCCCTGCATCGAGCCAAACCACGCCACGCCCACACTACCAGGTGAGCAGAGTTGCACGTAAAGGACAGCTTCTTCCTGTCCTACGCATCAACTGAGTAGTTGTGATGTTTGCGCAACCTTAATAATACTGAAGAATTTACGTAACAGACAAAATACCGTAAGCCTCCGGATAGTAGCTTCCCTGGGGGTATAAAAAAACACTGTTTTTTAGGGCGTGCGCTTATAATCCAGGAAATTTATATGCGCCGGCGTTTATAAAATTGCAAAAATGAAATGTAATATTTTAACATGAAATTGAAGCCTTTTCAAATGGGGATTCAATCCACATCTAGAACGTTCGTAACCGTGCATGAAAAGTGCATCTAATGGCCAACAAGGCGTGGAATCACGCCCATCACGTCTTGCTGGCCTGGCCAGATTCATCGAACATGAATCTGGCCCATGATAGCGCACACGTAGTTTAGGGTGCGGCTGTCCAATCAGGGTCGCATGCCGTGCCAGGCACGACTCTGTACAACCACGCAATTGGCAGAAGCGGCAAGATTCCACTCCACCGATGCATTGACCTCACCACCTCAGCTCCTCTACGGGGGGATCTTGACAGTTTTCCCCCTTTCCCTGCAGAGGAACCCGGGCCGCGAAGTTGGTGGGGTCTCGGGCGAGGGTTTCAAACGAGGCTCATTCTCTTCGTTTCTTTCAGTTTTCTTGTTTTCCCTCGGCCTGCCTAGGCAATGGCGGGCCTTCCAGGCACTCACTTCCTCTGTAGCGGCGGACCTGCTGTTGGCAACACTCGCGATTACTCTCAGTGGCAGAGTCGCCCAGCGCCTCCTGCTCCTCCAGCACCTCCTGCTCCTCCTGCTCCTCCTGCGCCTCGTGCTCCTCCGGCGCCTCCTGCTCCTCCCGCTCCGCCTATCGTCGTCATCAACGTTCAGTCCGTTCTGCAGCTCCTCCCTCGCGGTTACAAAGCTTTCGACGTGTACATCTCCGAGCCCGAGCGCAGCGGCGACAATGAACCCGGCCCCGGTCTGTTGCCACGCTGGGGAGACTCGGAACACTGCCCGTACGACGAATCCGCCACTGGTGCTGAAGACGATGTTGAGTGGTGGGCGGCCGACGGTCTTCCCGAGGACCTGCCTGTTTCTAGTTTCCCCCCGCCGAATAAGAAACGGCCCCACCCCTCCAAACAGAATCGTGATGTCCGCCCCCCGTCCCCCAGGAGCAAGCCTTCAACGCACAAGCACAACTCCTACACTTCCCAGGAGAAGCTGTAGTGGATTGCAAAGTTGGAGTCCGAAGCTGTGAGTGTGCGGAGAATGTCCCGCGACACTGGTATCTCCTAAAAGTCCCTGTCAGAGTGGAAGTCGCGGAAGGGTGAGCTGGAAGGTGCGCATGGGGCTCGCAAGCGCCTTCACGGGCGTGGTCGGGCGTCGTGGTAACGCAACATGGAGATCGAGGTGTACTCACGTGTTTTTGCCCACCGGAAAAAAGTGTCTCGCCGTATCTGTCGGCCGACTGCAGAAGCGGTCACACGAGGTGATGAAGATACTGCATCCTGATGTAAAGTGGGTTGGATCTCAGAGATGGACTGAGCGTTTTCGACGGCGCTGGAACCTCACTACCCGAGCGAAGACCAGAATCGGCCAGAAGCTGTTGTCTGGTGAGTCGGTGTTTGTGCTGTCGCTCTCGTTTATGGCTGCTTACGACCTTCGAAATTCTAATTTTCTTCTTTTGTTTGTCTCTCCCACCCTTCCCTTGGAGAGTGTGAGACACAGGTGCAGAACTTCAGGAAGTTCGTGCGACACTCCCGCTGACAGTACGGCATCGACAACCGTTGGATTATTAATGTCGATCAAACGCCACTCTGGCTCGAGATGCCAGCTGAACGCACGGTCGAAGAGGTGGGGATCTGCTCCGTGCCCATCCGCAGCGGCGGCTATCAAAAAGAACGCGTGACGGTGATGCTCGCCTGCACCGCCAGCGGCGAGAAGCTCAAGCCTTGGGTCTTCTTTAAGCGCAAGACAATTCCTAAAGGGGATTTCCCCTTCGGTAAGCCGAGCAGCTTGTGCAGTGACGATGTCATTTGCATGTGATGACTTTTTTTATGTCTGCTAATCTGTCCGTACGCGTTGTTCGGATGTGCAGATGTTGTGGTCGCCGCACATCCCAACGGTTGGATGGACGCGGACGGCGTCCTCGCGTGGCTCGACGGGACGGTGAACCCGTATGTCAACCCCAGGTTCGGAGTACGCAGCAGGAAGGTGATGTTGGTTCTTGAATCCTACCGCGGGCACCTCACTAATGCTGTGAAGGCAAAATTCCAGGAACCGAACATCGTCCCCGCCGTCATACCACCTGGCTGCACCTCTGAGATCCAGCCTCTTGACGTCGCAGTGAACCGCTCATTCAAAGCAGCAGTCCGACAACTGTACCAGGAGTGGTTCGAGAGTGAGGGGGTCGACTGCCTGACCGAAAGAGGTGAGCTCAATCCCTACGTGTACGATGTGTCTACTCTTTACTGTTTCCACCCTATTCTGGTTGCTGTTGTGTTTCTATGTGTGGCAGGCAACATCCGCAAGCCACCTCCAGAGCTGGCGCTCAAGTGGATCTCCAAGGCCTGGACGGTCGTGCCCAAGGAGTTGATTCAGCGCTCGATTCTCACCCGTGGCACCAGCAACGCCCTGGATGGGTCCCAGGACAATCTCTGCATGCAGCACCGGTGGGACACCGTCAAGGGTGAAGTAGAACTTGACGACGAGATTGCAGCAGATGGATTCTGCTGCAACAACGTAGAGGAGCCAGGGTCGGACGGGGAGGCCGACCAAGATGGCTCCGCCACTGTTGATGGTGATGCATAGGATGCTAGGAAGAATAGAAATTAGAGAAGGTCTGTTAATGTTGCGGCAGGGCCTATGTTTGGTTTTTGGCTACTCACGATTAGCAGTGTAGCCTTTTTCAAAACCCTTCTAAGCAGTGTGCCATTTTTGGATACACTGATGGATCAGTGTAACTTGAACTTTTGAAAACTTTACCCAGAGGCATCAGTGTAGGTATATTTTTTACCCTGATTGTAATATAGGCAGCTCAGTATGTGCTGGCAGCAACCAAGCCAAAGTAAAAAATCGTTCTGTCTGGCATTCAGACGGGCAAATTTTTATGGTATGATTTTTCAGACTAATGTTGGAGCTTTGTATGATTTTCCAGACTAATTAATTTGCGTGGTCTGATTTAGCTAACACACTTGTCGAGCATAATCACATGTTTTTCCTGGTTAATGAACACACCACTCGCGCGTCGCTAAGTGTTGGCTAGCTGACAGGCGTGTGCCAAATTGGGCGGGGAGAGGGGCTGTTGGGGAATTGTATGCACGTGGCATCAG